GAGAGAATGCTGGTGGTGTGTCTCCTCATTCTGCGTATTTGTTTTGTTTTCAAGGCCCATGGCGAAGACTGTGGCTGATGCAGTCTTGACGCTGGACAAGATCGTGGGGTCCGATCCCAAAGACAAAGCCACCTTTGCGTGCAAACTTCCCGACTATGGATTCCACTCGCATCTGAAAGCTGATGGCCTCTGCGGCAAACGCATTGCCATATCTCGATCCCCGTTCTTCGACGAGGTTCCATCGTTTGAGGTAGCAGTGATCAACAACGCGATTGCCACCATGAAGTACGTAAGAAGGAGAAGAAGTTGTGGTGTGCGATGGATGATTTAATCGTGGTTTCTTTCCTCCAGGAAGAAAGGAGCAGTGATCATCGACAACGTCACCATTCCAACCATTGGAGAGATCATCAATGGAACGGCGCTGTTTCCACCGCCGCTTAAAGCCGACGTTGTCACGCTGCTGACAGACTTTAAGATCCAAATCGAGGAGTATCTCGGTGGCCTCTTGGAAACACCCGTGAAGAACTTGCAAGACATCTTCGACTTCGACAGGTTTTCACAGCCCGAGGTAATTTTCTTTGCTCCTCGACTGTGAGATTGAAACCCCCAAGGATATTTGGCAGGAGTTTGCCAAGTTCCCAGACGACATCTTCAATGCGTCCTTACAGACCCAAGGCCGGGACACCGCCGCATATCAGCTCGCTCTTGCCACGGACTTTAATCTCACCAGAGACGGGCTGCTCAAGATCTTCCAGGAGCTGCAGCTGGACGCAATTGTGGCTCCCGCCGATAGCTCCATCGCGGTTCCAGCTTCCATCGGAGGCTTTCCAGCGATAACCCTTCCCGCGGGATATTCTCCACTAAACGGCCTCCCATATGGAATCACCATCGTCGGGAATCGCTGCAGCGAGGCAAAGCTGGTGGAGATTGCCTTTGCGCTCGAGCAAGAGACCAAAGCCAGGAAACCACCACCTTTGTTTGCCTGATAAGTACATTCTTTTGTAAAGGTCATGTTGCTGGACAAGATGAAAAACATTGCAAGGAATGCAACTAGCCACTTGCTAGATACTATTATTTGGATGATTTCTAAGCAAAACGAAGGAAATCCTCAGTAACCAGAGCCAGGAGCACCACCGGAGCTTCCACTTCCACTTCCACTTCCACTTCCGCTGCCACTGCCACCTCCATAAGTTGGCGGCGTTGAGCAGTCGCCACCAACACCACCGCCGCCGCCGCCAGACGATGGAACTCCACCCGATGGTGAGCTCCCCGACCCCGTTCCTGGCGGCGAGCCTCCGCCATAAGATGGAGTGCCTCCAGCTCCTGGAGTTCCAAAGCCGCCAGACGGAGTTCCACTTCCTCCTGGGCCGGATGGAGTGCCGCCAACTGGGCCGGATGGAGTGCCTCCGACTGGGCTGGATGGAGTGCCTCCGACTGGGCCGGATGGAGTGCCGCCGACTGGGCTAGAGCCGGAAGATGGCGGAGCATGTCCACCGCCGTAAGAAGGAACACCGGAGCCTCCTCCTCCAACTGAGCCGGAACCAGATGACGGAGGCGTATCCACGTCTGGTGATCCAGTGTCGGGAGATCCCACGTCCGGGGCTCCAATATCTGGACCACCAATGTCGGGAGTTCCACCAACAGGTGGCGTTCCAACATCGGGTGTGCCTCCTACAGATCCAGAGCCACCAGAATCACCGCCGCCACCACCAACATCACCGCCACCACCACCAACATCACCTCCACCCCCGCCACTACCACCACCCCCACCACCATAGTAGCTGAACCGAGGACCAAACTTGCCGTCTCTAGCACTCGCAGCAGCAGCAATGCAGATGGAGAGACAAGCCGCCAGCAGAACCTTCGAAGCCATCAGAGGAGCCCGGTCGCAAACAAGCCGAAAGGATGTGTGTGTTGTGCTTCCGCCTCGAGAAGAGTTTGATTTTATAACCCGCACACTGTTGTCAATCTAGCTGTGTAGCATTCTAACGCTGCTGCTGCTGTGCTGCTAGTTCGTCTTGTGCAAGACTACGCCATTAAAAGTCCGGCGCCAGAGCACCGCATTATATCGAATATCCATCTCGTGAAGAGGTGCGCCCTGCTGACATTAAGTCACCGAATAAACTCGTCGTCCACTTCCTACAAAAGAAGCTATAAAACTCGAGCCTGAAGTTGCCAGAATTACCTCTTACCAACCGGTTTCGCGTCCTCCCCTCACTTGAGGCATACAAAAACATATTTGGTGTCTGGACGCTCTGGAGCCTGAACGTCAACGCCAGCATTCATTTTCAGCAACACACCTTCTGCCGCAGTCCTATAATATAGACAGTGATCAGTACTTACCAATTACAAAAGAAACACGTACCAAAGTCATGCTTACTTCGTAAGACACCGCACTCCACCACCTTGCTTAAATGCCTCGCTTCGTAGCACGGGAAGGACGCGGCCCAGCCACTCGAGCCACCGACAAATAATAAGACGGTTTTGCAAGCATTGGCTAGATGAAAACTGGGAACTTGTTTTTTATCGAGCTGTTCCTATCATCACATCAAACTAGTAAGGACATATGAAAGATGCCTAGCCTGGAATTTCTTCTCCTTTGTCATCCTCCTTGTAAGGAAAGGACGATAAGTATGAAGGTGCTCAAAAGTGCTGCCTCATGCAGTCAAGACAGTGGCAAGAGCTTCCGATTTTCCACGAACAAAAATTGTGTACACAAGACGAATGGCATCCACCCAGCCGTCCACAGCTTCCCAGTTGTCAGCAATCTGCAGGCAACCCGAATGGTGTGAGCCCAAACAACCAACCCGTCTGGAACCTGACATGATACCATGAAATGCTGGCCTGAAGGAGTGTCAACGACGAAGCAACCGCCAGGAGGAAGGCTAAGATCCGCTGTTGGAGACACACAGACTATGTCATGCACCTCAACTCTCCTTGTATGTGATCCCTCAGGCGCTTTACTCGGGCTGCTGGATGCTCCAAGAGTCGGAGATCTTTGGTCCACTTTCTCCATCTGGAAAAAATTATTAGCTTCCTCTCATGAAAAATATACAGCATATCAATAAGACCTGATACAAGGCTTCGTGATCCAAGACAAACCACTGCTTTATCCAATCGCTATGAGGTGCTAATGGGTTCCCAATCGGAGGTACAGTCAAGTATCCGACTTTCAAATATGGTAGAGGAAGCTGTAAGTTCAGAGAAGTCAAAAAAGCACTAATACAAGCTAGGATTTATACCATTGATCTTACAAGTCGAAGAGCGCTCCTATAGACCTGAAAACTGGAAATGTAAAACGCATTAAAAAACCAAGACTTGCCATACTGAATAATCTGGTTTCAGCGAATGAGCAGCTGCTATGTACACCGCAGACGCACTATAAAGCTCCGGAGCACTTCCTTCGTGAGTGCTAGGACGCCTTCCACTTCTCAAGGTATCTTCTGCTAGCCCATACTGCATGCAATAGGAAAAAATAAGACTAGCATCTTACTGAAATAAACGAGAGCACACACCAATACAGTGCCGAGATTGTAAACTGCACGATGGAAATCAAATCGGAGACGTATAGCTGCTCGAAACTGTTAACATAGAAAACATTTCAGGCTTCTTTATCGCAAAAGAGCGCAGTCACCTTCTTTATCGCAACTTTAACAATGGCACGTTTTTCTTTTAGAGGAACAATTGCGCCAAGCTCCTGAGTAAGAAGTATATCTAGATCAGTAAGATATATCGCAATAAACTGTAAACTGATGGAGGAAGTACCTGAAGAGCAAGCCCCCAGTTGTTCAAAGCCTGAGTGGAAAAACACAAGAGAATACAGCGATGCAAACTTTGAAGATCCACAACTTACCTGGGGACTTGTCCAGTTTAGTTGAACAGATTTGTCGTACTTTTGACAAGCCTAAAGAACAGAAGAGTAATATGCAAGCTTAAAGAAAATAAAAATAAAAATCCACTCTACCTGCTTCCAGAGTTCCTCTGCTTCCTTAGTTCTTCCACGGATTTTTGCTCGGTCGGATACTGCAATTCCCCAGTTATAAAAGGCCTACAGAAAAATAACAAGTAAGCTACAACAACTGTGTACGTAAGTTATCACACCTCGTGCAAAGAAGGACAAAATCTTGTTGCTGCTTCATACTTTCTGCAAGCTTCATCTAGCAGAGCATCTTTCTCAGCAGGCCCAGACTCAGTTCCAATACTGTCAGCGCTTTCCTGCGGAAAACTTTAAGGTCGAGAGCAGGAAAAGAGAAAAGAAAACCTGGAGCACCAACGCCCAGTTGTATAGAGCATCAGCATCCTGAGGATTTTTCTCCACTGCAGTAGCATATCTGGAAACCAAACAAAAACATGTAAGAACGAAAGAAGAAGTAAAGAGTGTAGACCATGGTACCTTTTGGCAGCAAATGCAAGAATTCTCTGCCTGGAACGACCCTCCTCGTCTCCCGCTGCGATGTTTTGCAGCACATCACCAATTATACTCGATCTACTCGGTGATCTCTCCTTGCGAGCTTCATTCCTGGAATAATCGTTTGCTTCTACGTCGAACTGAATCGAAAGCTCTTACCTCTGCGTGGTGGTAGCACCGCTTTTCTCGTCACCAGTAGCCCTGACAGCATGGGCGTGGATGTGATCAAACAGCTTAGACTCATCCACATTGACGCTTTCCTCGTGACTAGCACCAGATTTCCTTCTCTCTTGCTCCACTAGCTGATGCACACCGTTGGCCAAGTCCGAGGCTTTGGATGCGGCCGCCGGAGGAGGAGAAGGAGCTGCCGGGGCGGAAGCCTTGGCCAATGACGCCGGGAAGGCCTTGGATTCAGCTGCATTCTTCGACATTTCAAGCCGCTCGTCGATATTTCCTCCTATTTCCACTGCTGCGACATTGGATCCAACCGAATTCGTGCCAGATCTCGCACGAGCTCGCTCAGATCATCCTGCCCTAGCCAATTCTCATTCCACCAAGAACCCTAAACTCCAAAGGGACAAATTTGTGTGTTAAATTAAAAAATAAGCACATGTTTTACATTTTGCGTTAAACCTCGATGTCTTGCGTCTCTCTAAACGGCAGTGGCACGCATTTGACTGCTCGAAAGTTACCAACATTGTTGAGATGCTCGTTCTCAATCCTGGCACGGTGAAAAACAAACAGTAAATTTCATCCACACTGTGACACAAAATTCTACTCTACCAGTAGCCTTGCCTTTCCTTACCTGTAGAAATTCCATTGCCCTCTCCTAAAAACTTCTAGCGAAGCAAAGATAAACTCCGTGACATGCCGATCCAGGCCCGTAAACTGGAAGTTCGTAATGGATTGAAGCCACGCAAAACGAAGTAGAGCATTCAACACCTGTGAAGAAACAATGACAAACTAGTCGCGACATTGTGAAACAATTGATTCTTGTTACCATTGAAACGAAGTAGAAGCTTTTGTGCTTGAGAATCAACCGGTCCCTGAGCCAGGCATTGATGGAGCAAGGCTGAAGAAGGCCCCAGTCGATAACAAGGTCCCAGTAGAGCTGATACAACGTTGCTATCGTCGAGGTGATTATAAACATGACGAGCCAAGTTGTGGTACCCTTTTTAATGTAAGAAAGCCGGCTTCCAACAGCCACCATAGCTGACAAGTACTTCCCACCGTTTGCAATATGAGCTCTGTTCCTCTCGTCAATCCATCGTCTAAGACACTGGAAAGAACTTTAACCATTAAGAACTTGAAACGAAGAAGAATGGATTTAGCTTTGAAAACCTGTAAGAGTCGCCACCAGTATGGTATAAGTGAGACGAAGTACATGATATCTTTGGAGCTGCCAACGCAAGCTCCTGTGTTCTTGGTCTTGAAATGGCCCCAACCGTAGTAGCAAATCACAAACTCCAAGTGCCTGAAGAGCGTTACCTGCCTCGAGAGAATTGTAAGCACCGCAGCAAGATCAGACGATCGGAACTCCTCACGTACCTGACTAGTAAGCTGGTCAGCAAGGAAAAAATCCGCTAGCACCACCTGTGGATGCAAAGATGAAGAGAAAAGACCAAGCTTTAGAAGAAAGCTTGCCTTGTAAAACGGTGCGAAAACAATATGGCGGAGGCACCGCGTGAAAAAAGCACGGCTCGAACGGTAGAAAAGGTCGAAGGGGAAAAAGAGTAATCCCAGAAAGATCTGTTGGAAACAAAACGCTTCAGTTCGGCCAAAATGGAGCAAAGATGGATTTCTTTTCTGAATTTGCTTTTACCAAAACGATAGCAGCAGGAATGAGGTCGACGCTTGTTGAGGCTTTTGCTTTGACGTGCGCGACCAGATGAGCCACCATTCCTCCAACAACGACTGTCGTGAGGCCTGTGCTGAGGAGAAATATTTCCCTGTGCCGGAGTTCTTTGCCGGGCTGGAACTCAAATATAAATGGGTAATTGATGCGTTCTCGTCTCCAAGCATAAACGTTGCAGCCATACATGTACATGTGTAGCAGCACCAGTGCCAGCATACTGCTCGATCAAGACTTGGAGGTGTTAGTAGAAGACCTTTCGTGGAAACAAAGAAAAAACTTTGAGAAACCTGGCTTAGTGCTTTGAAAGACCTGAAAGTTGGAAATATGGACTCCATGTAGCTAGACTTCGACATGGTTTCCGCGGCTGAGATATAGCTACCACTGATGTGCGAGACGATGAGAAACGCAGCCAGCAATGCGACGAAACCTCCCGTAAAAACTCCTGCACGATTTCGCAATCAGTATTGATCAGAGATTCATGGAGCGTTTTCTACCGAGAAAAAATGTGACCGTGTGGGACGCCTTTTGCTGCATTGGTCTCAAGCACGTCATTGCGTGCTTGCGGTCGTTCTTTGCGAAATGCTCCGTGAAAAGCTTCTCCACTTTTTCCATGAGATTAGCGGCCTACTCGGAAATATGCAAACAAAAAGTTGTAAAACAACAAAGATGGCTCAGAAAATCAACCTTGTCAGAGCTGCTAAAGAACGAGCTTTCCACTGCCCGCAAATAAGTCGGCATTGCTTTCCTGCCAGTCACCTAAAATCACAACCCAAAAAAACTTTCAGAGTTTTCTCTCAGATTATCACCTTGTCATATTTTTTCAAGATCTTTGCGAATGCCACCACGTTCAAAGAGCTGTAGTCAGATGGAATAAGCACGAAAGGATCTTACACAGACTAACATGGAATCACCTGAAACTCTTCAGCAATCCAAGGCCACGATAAAACTCGATGAATGCCAAGCGCAGCACTTTCTCTGCAGAGTGAACCTTTTTCTTGGTCGCGTGGATGTCCGTCTCTTGAGATATGTTTTTCTTGGATTGGTGTATCAATGCTTGCGAGAGGGACGCTATCGTAGTGGTAGGAGATGCCGGAGATTTCACGTCCTGTGGACCGAATATAGGCTGCCGTTCAAGCGAATTTCCCATCTCAATGCTACTGTTTTTCGCAGAGTTATCACCTGCATTCCTCGAGATGTATCAGCGCGAGATCTCTAAAAGAAAGCAAACTACAGTCTGTGCACCTGAGAATAACTCCAGCGTTTGCTTCGTTTCAATCAGCAGTGACATTTGCCTGCTCAAAGCCTCGGCTCTTTTGCAGTACTCCTCCTCCTTTCTCCTGTAAAACTTGTTCACGTTGTTAAGCTGGCCATCCAGGCGGGCAAAGAACATCTTCTCCTCTTCGACCTGTGAAATCGGCCCCAAGAGTTCTGTCTCGTAAAGCTCGTCTGGGGGCAACTGATGCACCTGGAGAACAAAAACTATCAAAGAAGCTTTCAAAGAAAGGAAGAACTTTGACAGTTACGAAGAACTTACTCGAATGACTTCACTCTGGCTCCATGTCAAGATCTTCCGCCTGGTGAGACCGCTGAAAGTCCTGAGGGGCGAAGAATCGGCGGGCGAGGGAGAAGAGCCAGCAGCATCAGCGCTAGCAGCAGCACCACCCCCACCCGGAGATAAAATTTGCTTCTTGCGAAGCACCAGCTTGATCTGCTTGAGATCCTTCTTGAGCTGCCAGTAATCGCAGTAGGCCGATCGCCACTCGGGAACAAGCTGGCCATCGAGCTGCTTGGAGAACTTGACCATGCTGGATGAAAAAGATGATGCATCCCTTTTCTCTTCTCTTCTTCTCGTTCTACTTCTAAATGAAAGACCAGCTCTCACCAAATAAAGCGGTGCCACTGCCAGTCCCACACCCTATTTCCCGTGAATCGATCGGGAGAGCAAAGCTTGCCTCCTTTCCAACCGCAAGACGCTAGTCAAGTGGTTGGGACTTCTCACTTTAGGGCTCCTCGGCGCCAGCTAGGGTTTTCTGACCGGCATGGCGGGGATTGGGATCTGCCGCTGGAAATGCGAGGCCTGGCCGTGGATTCAAGGCGCCCGCGAAGTCCAGGCTCCAGCATTGCCTCCACAGAAGCGGCAATTCAGACCCAGGATCGATGTCCGCAAGCTGCTAGGTATTGTATGATCATCGCACCAATGCTTCTAGTTTTTGATCTTTCCCGTGCTGCTGCCAGCCGCAAGAGCTCCGGAGCAAAGCCTAGAGAGTGCTGCTACTCGCGTGCCATCGACGAGCACCATCCAGAATCCCAGAGCGACACACAACGCGGCGGCATTGGCATATTTGGGAGATGCGGTCTACGAGGTATGTTTGTGTGGGGGAAAAATTCGCTCTTTTCATGGACATCGCAGCTCTATGTCCGCAGGCATTTCCTCACACCACCACAATCCATGGACAAATACAATGCTTGTGTCATGGCAGTAGTTTGTTGTGAAGCTCAAGTAAGCTCTATCGCTTTTCTTTCCTATCCTTGGCTTGATGTTCGAAGAAACACCATTGTTGCCTCTCAGGATTCTTTGCTGCAAGAAGTCCTGAAGGGGAAATTCTTGACACAGGAGGAAAGGTAACCGGATATCTTCTTCAAAAGGTGACTTTTTGTAACGTTTTTTCCATCGATCAGGGACGTTGTGAGATGGGGAAAGAATGTTGTAACAGCACACAGCCGTGCTACAAAACGAGCCGGCTCGGCCGTTTACAGTGGAGCCTCTGCCTTGGAGACACTCGTAAGCCTTCTTGCAGAACTGAAGTTCGTCGTTTACCTTTTCCTTTCTTTCCTGTCAGATAGGCTTCCTCTACCTGAGAGATCCCAGCAGATTGGACGAGCTCATGACCAAGCTAGGATTCAACAGAGACCCTGAAGATCTCCCGCAAGGACAACGTACGATGGCGGCGACTGCAGTAAATACTCGAGCATGCAGCATGTCAACGGAGGCCAATGCATGAACTTGTCAAACGGTGGGTGCGTGTTGGGAAGAACAGGCAGTCCGGTGGAACCCATCCCGTAAGACGTGCAGGCCGTAATGAGATCTCGCATTCTTTTTTCTTCGCTCGCCCTTTTACTTGGTACTCTGGCCATTATTGTTTTTACAGTGAGCAGGAGCTAAAAAGATAGAACGGAAGAGGACTCCTGACCTTCCTCCTGCCCGTGGGGTCGACTTCTACAACAATCTCACACAGGTTTCATAGGTTCCTCAATAGTACTGTGGCAGAGAAGGGACATCGTTCTTCCTATCCCTTTCACTCGAGCTACAAGCCGGGGGTATGAGTCCAAATCTGGGAGTGGAGATACAGTGAGAGGATGAAAATCCGATTGAGCTTAGGCGGGAGTAGCAAGCGCTTCACTTACCAGTCCATTTCATCTTCGTCTCGAATCGAAGACGATGAGCCTCTGCTCACTCTCCGCTCCAGCGCTCCTCAGCCGGGAGGACGAATCCAGGGGGAGAAGGAACAGGACGGCGGTGGGATAAGGCCAGGAATGATCAAGTTGCTAGTTTTGAAGCTGGATGGAACATCCTTCGGTAAGCAGTACGCTTGTTCTTCCGCTAGATCCGGCTTCCTCATTTGTTTTTGCGTTGGTTTTCTGGATTAGACGTGAATGTTCCAGTTGCTGCAACAGTCGGGGAGATGAAATCAACACTGGAGAGGACCGTGAACGAGCTGGAGGTGAAAGTGCTGGGCTACTGCGACATTCAGTGGTGACATTCATTCATTCTGGTTTTGCATTGATTGGAGAAAGCATCGCTTTTTTTTCCGCGTGCAGGGAACAAGTCTGGAGTAACTTCTGCCTGTGCTACATGAATCAGAAGCTGCTGGACGACGAAGCATCGTTGCGAGCATTTGGGATCCACGACGATGATCAGGTGAGTTCATTTTGGTGTGAAGTTTCTGAAGTTTCTCTTCTTCTGATGTTTTCGCAGGTAGCGTTTCTTCGCCACTCGACTGATCCTCAAGAGCCACAATCCACGAAGAGGAGAAGCTCTCTTCGCAAATCCAAATTTACTTAGCGAGAAGAATGGAATCCAAAACTATCTCTTTTGAGCATGTATGTTAGATAGTTTGCCCTAGAATGGCAGCGGAAGCGATCGAGGCGATGGAGTCCACGTCCGCGGCAGCATCAGTAGCATTCCAGGTGAGGAGCAGCTGGCAAGCGATCCAGGGGCAAATCGACAGCGTCATGGATGTCATCCTCGATTCCGGTGATCCAAGCGCGGAGTCATCCACCAGCATTGTCGCTGCGGGAGATCTAGACCTGTCCCTGGCGCCGCCTCCAATCAATCCAGGGCCCTGCGAGATCACAGGTAAATCATTTCCTCTTGTCCTGTGTCTGGAGATAGAGCTCTTTTGTTTCTTGGTGATGATCCAGTGGAATTCCAGCATAGGTTGTGCCATGTCCACAGCATTTGCGTCCTCAGCAGCTCGCGGCAGTGTGAGATCTACTCCCAGGCTCAATCCGCCGGAAACTTCGACTACATATGCACTGCTCGCGGCACGCTCCTCAAGGAGGGCTGCTCGTCCGGAGAAACTGGCCAGCTTTACGAGGCAGAGATCGAGCTTGTGAATGCTCATCCGTGGGCGGCTGTGAAGATCAGGTTGCTATCGCTGGAAAATCCATCGCGAGCTAACGTGCGGAAGATCACTGTCCGTGGGAGTGCTGGTGGTGCCCCGCCAACTTTAGCCGCTCGTGAGGATGAACAGGGAAGCTTTAGCAGCAACAGCAGTAACTCCTCTTCGCTCCTCACGATGCTCATGCCAAGCGTCCTACAGGCCGTCCGTGGCATGTCCGATGGAATGGAGACCCGGCGCGCAGCAGCGCGGGTGCCACAGAAGATCGAGGCTGGTCCTAGCAAAGAAGCAGAGCTGTCTCGACAACACGCTGAAACGAGCTTTCGGCTTCAAAGGCTGGAGATGGTCATTGGTCGTATGGAAGCGTTCCTCCAGGGGGCGTTTTCCAAGCTGGATAATCGGATGAGCAGCATGGAGGCACAGATTTCTACGCTTCAACAGCAGCGTCTGGAGTCGCGGGATGTTCCAGCCTCAGAGATGAGGCAGCCATCTCCATCATCAGATGCTAGGCCGGATGTTCCAGTGGACGAAGCTGAGCACTCAAACACTGCCGATCTTCGAGAGGACGAAGGCCTTGATGAGGATGGCGATGGTGACGATGAAGACGACGACGAAGAAGAAGAAGAAGATCAAGAAGAAGAAGACGATAATGATGAATCTTCTCCGAGTCTTGATGGCTCCGGCGAATCCTCCAGCGGAAGTTTAGAAACGGACTCTACCACTGCTCGACGAGGCTCGCTCTCGCTGGAGGACGCGTGGGCTTCGGCGCTGGCAGCGTTCTCGGTGTCAGTTGTTCCTGCCGCACCAGGCCCGGAGGAGAAGTTCGAGGATGCGGTGGCTGAAGTTAATGCAGAGAGGCCAGCCGACTCCAACGGGGACATTGGTGAAGAAAAAGAAGAAAGGAATGGAGAATTGGAGCCAGGAGGAGGTGACGCGACAACGTCAGGTTGGTGGGGAGAATTCATCGAAGTACCAGCAGCACAAGAGCAGCAAAGCGATCACCACAGTAGAGCGGAGGGAGTGGAGGTTTTGGTCGAGCAACAGGGAAAAGAGAATGCACAAGAGCAGCAAAGTCAGCACCACAGTACAGCAGAGGGAGCGGAGGTTTTGATCGAGCAACAGGGAAAAGAGAATGCACAAGAGCAGCAAAGTCAGCACCATAGTACAGCAGAGGGAGTGGAGGTTTTGATCGAGCAACAGGGAAAAGAGAAAAGCGATGGCAATGATCCGGCTCCTGTTGGCATGACTGCGACAGGAGAATCAGCTGGAAGTCGCGAAGTGGATTTGATCGATTTTGACGAGCAGGAGCCGAGGAAGAGCAACTTCAGCTCCGGTGATTGTCCCGGCGGATTCTCCCCGGACTCGCTGCTCATCGATTGTATAGACGGCGTTTACCTGATGGAGCAGAAGAAGATGGTTCCACAGAAAGGTGGCAGTGACGAGAGTGTGGAGGATGGGTTTGATCTCATCGCGTCGCCGCGCAAAGTGGATCCCGAGATTTGCACGGATCTAATGTTTTAACCTTTAGCAAAGATTGATTTTTTATGGGAAATAAAGAAAATGGAAAGGCAAAGGTGGTGGTGATGGTGGAGATTCCGAGAAAGAATAATAAGAGCCGAGAGGATTGTCATCGCATAGTTCAAGGACAGCACGCGACGCCCTTCCTTGGCTGCCAAATTTTCCATCCCCTTCTTAGCAAAGTTTCTGTGCACGCATGGAAAGAAAGCCCAAAAGAGAAAGAGCGCTAAAAACTCCTCTTCCAGATTGTTACCATGATTCGGCGATGATATGATCTGCACAGCACACGCACAGCGCAGCAACGCGGAGGGACTCCGGATGAGGAAGGCGCTCGCTAGCAGCCGCTGGTGGCACTGGCGCTGGCGATCCCTCTCTGCGCTGCTGCTGTGGATGATCATCGTCGCGGCCTCCGGATCCAGTAAGTAGCCAAATGTGCTCACCGAGTGTGGACTCTAGGGTTTTGTTTTTCGTTGCCGACAGGCGAGAATCCATGGGGCGAGCGGGAGCGATGCGAGGCGCTGGTGCGGCGGTGGGCCGGGCAGGAGATTTGGAACATGGAGGAGGAGAGCGGCATGGATTTGGACGGCAGCCGCAAGTGGGAGCTCCAGGATTTGCTCTTCTTTCTCCACGTTCCACGCACTGGAGGCCGCAACTACAACCAGTGGTGAGTGCTGGAAGAAAAAATCCTCTCTTCCTTTGTTTCTTTTCTCGCGTCGCTTCCAATCTCCAACTCGATGCTAGCTCTTTCTCTCCCCTCTCATGCTTGAGTTCTTATTCTTTGGATTTGTTCTTCCAGCTTTCTAAAGAACATGTTCTCCTCAGAAGAGCTATGTCCTCGTTCTTACGACAAGCTTAGAATGGATCTCAGGTACTCGATCTCGTCGTTTGGGGTCCTTCGCTCTTGCGATCATACTCTCATTTTTTTGTGGATCCAGCAAACCAAACTGTAGCTTGCTATCAACTCACGACGACTACAGCATTCTCTCAATGCTTCCCAAGGCAAGGACGTCGACCATCACCAACATTCGCGATCCCATGAACCGAGTTTTGAGCTCGTACGAGTTCTCCGTGGAAGTTGCCGCAAGGTTTCTTAGGCGAACGCGATCTATGCTGAGGAGGATTGGTCCCAAGACTCAAAAGGCAATGAGCACCTTGGACATTTGGCCGTGGAAGTATCTGGTTCCTCTCCTCCAGCGCGACCTCTTCGAGCGGGCAAGCTCTCTCGCTGTCATGCTCCTTCCTTTCTAACAGATCGTTCCTTCTGTGCAGCGAGATTTGAGAGCCGCGCATTTGGTCGAGCAACCACAAAAGCCTGCCAATGTTTACGACGTGCCTGCATTCGTCATGCCTTTGAAGGAGTTTGTGGATCATCCCGCGGTTCATGAATTGGTTCACAACGGACAGACCTTCCAGGTTATATTTCTCTGGAAATCGAAGCGAGAAAAAAAAACGGTTTTGATGTATTGGCAGGTCGCCGGAATCACGAACAACTCGTACCTAAAAGAAGCGAACGATATCCGGTACTGTGTGACGCAGTTCGAGGAGCTTGGCGAGCATGTCCTTCACGTCGCAAAGGTTTGTGACTGATTGATTCTTCAGTTGGTTCACCCGTGAAAAATCTATTTTCCAGAGGCGGCTTAACGGAATGCTATACGTTGGTCTCACTGAAAGACATAAGGAATCAGCGGAGATCCTTGTGCATCTCGTTGGGCGCCAAATTGCGACCAGGAACCTCCACAAAGGTGATAGATATTTCCTTGCTTCGTTTGCTTTCTACTGAAATATCAGGAAAAAAACCACTTCCATATATATAAATGCAGAGACTTCTTCCACAGCAAAACAAACAGCTACATATCCTGACTATGGACTTAACATGAACCTTACTGCAGGAAACGATACCTCCTACGGGGTTTGTAGCCTGTTTCAAGTTGATGACAAAGCCTTCGTTTGACACGGTGCGCGTTCATTGTCGCCAGGACTTCATATCTCACATGGTCACCTCTTACGAGCAGTGCTCATCGTCTCTCAGGAATGCTCAGGTCCAACGCCGGATCATGTCCCTGGAAACGATTGCACCCGTCAACTTCTCCAAGGAGGTACTTGTTGTGCTTGCTTTGAAAGGACTTACTTGGACAGGAACCGCAGGCGAGGAAGACGATTCCAGGTGATACAGTCGCGCGAATACTGCAGCTCAATAGCTTGGACTTCGAGTTGTACCAGCACGCCAAGCAGCTCTTCCAACTGGAACAGGAATTTCTCAAGAACCACGCGGACGAGCTGGTATGAAAATGTTTGCACTCTGCGGGAGGATGATTGGCAATGCTTTTGTCTTGGCAGGAGACGTTTGAGCCCGATGGAAGACATGGATTGGAAGAGCACATTACTTCTTTACACGCAACCGGCATTGTTGGATCGAGAGACGCGGCGGCCTACGTTCTTGAGGAGGACCGCAACAGGCTGGGAGTGACCAGAGACGCGGCAATCTTCATCCTGGGATGTTCTGTAGTGCTAAGCGCTCTTGGCATCTACTCTCTCGTAAATTTTCTGTCCAGGAGTGCAAGAGCAAAATCTAGAGGTGCTACCGCGCTCCAGAGAAAGTGATAAGTAGCCAGTGCAATCCAGTTTTGTAAAAATCTGCTGTTGTAAGTAATGAGATGAAACGCGCATGAAATGGAAGAAGTATACTACTCTCACCTCACGAAATCTTTACATAACTTTCCCGCGAGTTCTGTAAGCCGCTTCCAAGTAGCACGAGTCCTTGTCGTCAAACTTGAGCGACGCGTAGAGCTGGAGAGCGATTATTGTCACTGGAAAGAGCCCGGAATTCCAGAGGATACAGGCTTCACCCGCAGGGATGAGGACGGCTTCGTTCACTTGCAAATACTCCTGAGAAGGAACAATCTGCAAGTGCGCTCCTTTCAACACCACAACGAGAACGTCGCAGTCCGCCTCGTTCTCCGGATCATACGCCTGGCCAGTTCTCAAAACGACAGACCTCGCGTTGATGGCACCCAGACCGCTCACTGGCATCGCAAACACCTGCTTTCCATTGTTGATGCTCTTTCCCACGCCAGAGCTTAACAACGTCGAGCCTTGTTTCCCAGCCCAGCTTATCCGAATGTAATCGACCCCGGCCCCTGATGTTAAAGCATGGAGCTCCGAGCTGGAAAGAAATGCCAGTTCTCCACTCCTGAGCTCTTTCACTTCCCTGTAGGCTCTCCGACTACCAACGTGGTGATAGTTCAACGTTCCTCTCACCACCACCACTACTTGATCGTGTGCCGATGACTTGAAAGCGGCTTCTGTCCCTTTGAATGCTAACATCTCCACTGTGATCCAATCCAGCAGAGGCGAGCGAGCGAACTCGTAAACACCTGAAGCACCTGTAGCCCGTGCCCGTCTTCTCAACACTGTTATGTTGCTACCCGGTAAAATTCCCGGCGGCCTGTACTCCCGTCTTTCAAACAAGTCCTCCTCCTCGAAACTTAGGCGCTCGCTATGTACCAGGCCGTGTCTAACGTCGTTGCGACCGTCCGAGGTCAGGTTATCACCGCTCGTCGAAGTCTCAGAAGCTAGCAAGGTAGAAGGAAGAACTGGCCTGGAAACCAACGCAATGTGGGAGCTGTCAACCTCTTGGTCTCGCAGAGTGCAATTGGCAGGCACAAACTGAAGTAACAGCGACGCCTGGAGAGCCTCGGTTGGATTCGAGGTGCCATACAGCAGTCTGCCGTTTATAAAATAGGCTCCGCCTGGCTCCAAGTCGATGTCTTGCACAGCCGCTCCCTCCACTTTGTCAGCGAGATACATGAGTACCACCTAGATTTGTCACAAACAATAGAAAAAAACATGGAGCTGCACATTAAAAACTCGAAGAGAGGAAAAAGAAAGTATTGTCAGGTCAACTTACGGATTCCAATTGCTGTCGGAGCTGAGGACTTTCGCCGCCGTAGAATCTCCGCGCGGCTTTTATCTGGTTCGCGAGCTTGATGGCCATTTTTCTGGTCATCGTGTGGGAATTCTGGACGAGACGTGCGCCGCTGTTAAGGAGCACGTCCACTGTCTCACATTGGAAGCCCTCGAACTTGAGCTTGAGAGCTTGCTGGGACTTTGGAGGGGCGTTCCAAACTGTGAGCCCAAAGAGGAGCACCGGATGCCCGAGGATAGCCTCCACAGCCTACCAAGCCACACACAAGTAACGCATGAGTTTGAAGAACACACTCCCAAATGGCCCAAAAGAAAGAAAGCATACCTCTACGATGGATTTGTCTCTGCCAAGCTTGAAGCAATCTTCCAGCCACAAAAAGCACGCTCTATCGGAAGGACCCTCAAAGCCCGCACGAATCATTTGCTCGCCCAAGCGCGGCCTCAGCTCCTCCCAATCACGCGCAATTTTTAGAAGGAGCTCTCCAATTTGTGCGTGCTTGAGAATCGAGAATGGGCCTGCCAAGCCATTCGCGGAGTAATCGGCCGCCGAGAGCTGGGGTTGCCATCGCAGATTCCCAACAGCGAAGGATTCGTTTTTGGAGGAATATCGGATGAAGGGAGCCCCGTTGCCAAATGCATCATCAATCTTTCCAGCCTCCTCTCGATCTGTGGAAACCCGAGCTTGTCCATCTCGAATCGACACGGAGTACCATGCCTTGGCCGCCAAGATCAGCAGCAAACAGAAGCACGCCGCCCCGATCGCGAATCCTCCTTTCCTGTGCGCCCTCCATTTCCCTGGCATTCTTGGAGCAGCGCCAAAGAGTGCGCGATCAACAACACCCTAAGATCTCCCAGATCGATGCCATACGCTGACGATCACGCCAAGAAGCAGCAAGGGAACGATAGCAACAGCGCTGCCGGCTCCATAATACGCACGATCGGCGTCCACTTCGTGTGGAAGTGGAAATCCCCCGAGCGTCGCCATCGCCGCGCCTTCTCTCCCCTCATCAAGATTGCATGAATGCAACGGAATAGCACTCCCACACACAAAACAAGTGTCGTTAGCCTAGCTATACCAATCCAGGGTTCGAATCCTGGCATTGGCACGGAGAACCCTAAAATCCGGTACTATGAATGCCAGGGGCATTTCGATCTCTCTCCCCCCAGATCGCGGCCACAGCATCGATTCCTCTGAGCAGCTCCCTCGTCGACGATCTCCTGCGGCAGCGGACGATCGACGCAGCCGCGTGCGTGGAGCTGCTACGTTCTTGCGGTGAGGCCAGAGATGTCTCTCATCGCCGCTCGTGGCCACTGGTGCCACAGTTTCCTGAGCGATCAGATGTATGTCTGCTGTGGAAGCCTGGTCGATGCAAGAGATTTGCTGCCGGGGCTGGGGCTCCTCTCGGATGATCAAGGTCTTGTCCATCGATGGCAAGCGCTGCCGAGGCATTCCATCTTCGTCCGGAGCATTCGTCACGGTTCTGAGCGCTTATTCTTCCTTGGAGGAGCGCTTCATGGTCCGGGGGCTTATCGGCGAGGGTGGATTGGAATCTGGGCTCTTATTTCCCAATGCGGTGATCAATTTCCTACGATTGATCGAATCCAAGTTTTTGACACACTCCATTAGAGATGGAAGGGAATGGAAACATACGTTCTTCTATGGAGGTGTAGGTCTAAACTCCTTTTGAGCTTGTGAAGGGGATGGAATCTGTGGCAGTTTTCTTCTTCCAGCACTGTCCATGGATTGTCCAATTCCATCAAATATTGCTGCATTGCATTGCGATGTGATATCATTCCAAAGCTTCATGAAACATTTTTAGTGTTTTACAATGTGAGGTGACTAATTAAGTCAACAAAGCTGTTGACTTTAGTTTTATTCAACGCGCCAACTACTTCACTCGCTAGTTAAAAAAAGACGATCAGCGACCTGTACAGGATGAAGTTTGTGGATGCTCGGGGATTACGGCCTCGGCCTCGCCCAGGAGGAGGTCGTTCCGGTCGAAATTCTCGGTAAGTCTGGGCAAAGAAAATTTCCATCAGGACATTTTCTCGATATGAATGATATATCCTACCTGAAGAAGGAACCTGGATTTGAATTTCAGGGTGGGAGCATCAAATTCTGCAGTCCGTTGGGAGAAAACTGATGAACAATTCTTCCTGGTACCTTGTTCTTCATGACAAGGAGCTCCATGTATGCCACCGACCAAAAGAAACCCGAGTATGGAAGACACAAAAAACATTCTAGCGAGTGCCATCTCTTGCTAACAAATTTGAGACACTTTTCATGGCAGACCTTTCAACTTATAGCTTTCACAAAGTCCAAGTCAAGGATCTCGTCTCGTTTGTCAAGTTAGTATATAAAGCCCAAAAACTCGTATTAAGCGCAAGCTCTCAATAGCGTAGTGGATCAGCGCATCAGACTTCGGATCTGAAGGTTGTGGGTCGAATTCCACCGTGGTCGTGTTTTGTCAGTAACTCAAATAGTTCAAATCAAGTCGAACAAGTTGCTAATAATTGAGTACTCCCAGCGAGACAATATCGCTGATACTATATTTTCACCATGATGAGAGGAAGACCGTAGCCGGCGATACGATGGCGACAATCGAAACCGGAAGCGCTGGAGAATGGTGGCAAGGCGATCTTGGCTTCGATGAGTGCAAAGGCTTGGCCAACACACGCGCGGGGGTCAAGCGACAAGGCCAGGAACGCGTTCGAGTGCTTGCACGCTCCATCCTTGAAGCGCTCCGGATTGAAGTCGTGGGTGTCGTGATGACTGGAATGGAGACCGCAGTTCCCTTTGGGACGAGGATGCGAAGATGAACACCACCCACCGGTGGTTGGAGAGTTTCGTGGAGATCTATACAAGAATCTTGAAACTTCAAAGCAACGCAAAACCTTACCAGCTTAAGCTTGCTGATTGAATTGGCTTCTGGAGTGGCACCGTTGCAGACTTCCTGAGCTTCGACGCAAGCGCGCTCTGCCATTCCAAAACCAACAGCACAGCATTGACCAGGTGAGGAGACTACGTCGTCTTGTGGCCAGCAAAGAAAGTCTTGCACTCCTCCATCACGGGGAGAGAACGAAGAAAGAAAAACTTTACCGTATTCCTTGGACCACTGGTGGCATCACATGCTCCACAATGTCGTGATTCAAGCCTGTCATGTCCCGCTCCTTGGCACTGTCTCTCATCTTCATCCCCTTGCCGAAAGTCCTTGACGGCCCCTGGATTCTGGCTTCGAATCCTTGCGTCGAGCGATCTTGGCTCCAGCCAAAACCTGGTTATGATCGATCGCCATAGCTTCGCAACCAGTGTTAGCGCAGCGTGCCCGTCCATATCGTGGAATGCCTGCCGGCCCATTGGATCGCACAATATATTGTACAGGAACTTTCATAGAAACCCCCAAAGTTTTTCTAGAAAATCAGAACGATTCCTCGGGTTTTTTGTGAATGAAATTTTATTTTGTGAATTGATTTAGCATACTGGTAATTTCTTTTTCTTGCACATAACAAGATGGAGGGGGAGGAGCATCAATTGTTGCTGTATTACATTCCATCGCATCTTTGGTGGGATTATTGCTTTGAGGGGCGAGGTAAAACACACCATGGTCGCCTTGGAACAATGGGAGTGGTCACCGTTATCAGGGATTTCCGCCTCGGGGAGGAGGAGAGCGTTTTGGTCGAAATTCTCGGTATGCTGGTGGGGACAATTCTCGTTGTGAATCATATCCTACCTGAAGAAGGAACCTTGACTTGAATTTCATGGTTGGAGCATCAAATTCTGCAGTCCATTATTTAGAGAAAACTGATGAAAAATTCTTCCTCGTACCTTGTTCTTCATGAAAAGGAGCTCCATGTATACCACCGATCAAAAGAAATCCGAGTATGCAGGACACAAAAAAAATTCTTACGAGTGTCATCTCTTGCTACTTCGAACATTTGAGACCTCCATTCAAGTTTTTCAAAGCAGACTCAGAAGGTCCAAGTCAAGTATCTCGTCTCGTTCAAGCTGGCAAATAAAGACCAAAAGTTTGAAACCACGGGCGGGCTTTTGGTTTATTTATGGGCACTGTTTGCTTGCGATCATCGAGATTCTGGATATTAACGAGGTCCGCTAAAAAAGAGAGTTTTGAGTTTAAGGTTTACTCTGAAAAGGCTCCTTAAATCCACACCTTTTTCCGTGGTTATATAAGCTTGCCACAGCTGCGAGTCATATTGTGGGTATGGAGCAAGAGAATTGGAAGGTTTTGCCAACACCGGAGCAAATTATGGAGAGGCGGCGCCTTTGGATACAGCGAAACCGAGCTGACTATTTGGAAGAGATTGGCGGGGAAACAGAGAACGACGATGTGAAGCTGGAGAAACATTCTCCCGTGGCTTCAAACTCCTCTAAGAGAATTGACGAGGAAAAAGAAGATGCTTGTCTAGAAGGCCACAACAGTAGTAGTAACAGACTTCTTTGGTGGTTTTGTGATTCTTTGTTTTATCCTATATAGTTTGTATTTGTTTTCTTGGAAACAAATGTTAAAAGGAATATAAAGTTTTCTTACTCCCAGAGATAATTCCAACTTGTAAAAGGTGCTTAGGAACAAACATGTTTCATATCTAATGATCTCATGGCCCAATGGACAAGGCGCTGGTCTACGGAACCAGAGATTCTGGGTTCGATCCCCAGTGAGGTCGGGTCGTTAAAGATGAATCTTTGATCATGCATTCGTGGATAGCAGTAACAAACACGACCAAGGAAAACCAAGCAATGGCATTGACGAGCGCAGTATTCCTTTTAGTTTTGATCAGTGGTCCACATTATACTTGTGCTTCTTTCCATTCACAAGGTATTGAAATTATTTGATCTTTCTTACCTTCTTCTTCCTCAAAACTGCGATGGAATGTCCTCCACTGCCCGGCTATCAGACCCCAGCCATCAACTCGCCCTCCGCGCGGGGTCAATCCATAGTAAAACTCTTTCACCTTGTGTATTAGTAAAATGCAATTTGAAACTAAAAATTCTACCTTAGGGTTTTTGCGGCAATGGCAGTGATGAATGCCGCGGCGTCGTCTCCGTGCTGCTTCAATCCCAGGTGAGAGCTGGATTAGGAATGTAAGTGAATTCGCATCGGCTGTGGCAGGAGCAGCAGCTGCGAGAAATCGGCAGCGCTATTTTCCAGCCAGTGGCGCCAGGACGAATCTGGGTTCTGCGTCTCCAGGAGTGCGAATGCGAGGCCGCGCCGAGCAGGGATTTGCCGTGCGCAAGTAACGATGATGCCAATCGGCACTCCCAAAGTGCCTTACAGAACTCCCGGCGAGGGAACCTGGCAGTTCGTGGATATTTGGAATGTGCTGGTATGCTACTTCGTCTCGTTTTCTTCTTCTTTTGCTTGTCTAGAGTTTGTGCCACTCCGTGACTTCTTTGCTCCAGTATCGAGAGAGAATCATTTTTATCGGGCAACACATTGACGAGGAGTTTGGCAATCAAGTGCTCGCCACTATGCTCTACTTGGACAGCGTTGATTCCAGCAAAGATCTCCATTTCTACATGAGTTGTCCTGGTGGAGACGTAAGCTTCTCGCTTTTCATGAACCTTTCATCTTTTCACTAGTTTCATTTGCCAGCTAACTCCTTCCATGGCCATATACGACACAATGGGAAGCGTGAAAAGCCGGATGGGAACGATGGCACTCGGCTATGCGTATAACATCGCTGGATTCTTACTTGCGGCTGGAGAAAAGGTTGAGTTTCTTCTGATTTCTTTCAACGCCATAAATTCCGTGCCTTGACCAGGGAATGCGAACCTCCATGCCTCTGACGAGAATTGCTATACAACCGCCTCAAGGAGCTGCTCGTGGAAAAGTGAGAGCCTTTGCATTGATCATCCAATTGTCGTTTTAGATCTGAGCGTTGTTTTCTGCAGGCAGCCGACATTCAAAACGAGGCTAAAGAACTATCTCGAGTTCGAGATTATCTCTTCAAGCAACTGGCTGTGAAAACTGGGCATCCAGAAGAAAAGGTAATCTGAGAAGCATAGCATTTACGCAGCCACGCATTTGTCTGATGCTTGTATCGAAATGCTGTTGCAGATTCACAAAGACTTTAGCAGGATAAAAAGGTTTTCTGCGCAAGAGGCTCTAGACTATGGCCTGATTGACAAAATCATAAGGCCTCCCACGGTCAAACCAGATGCAAGCTCCAAGGGCGAGGCCGGTCGTGGCATCGGCTGAAAGCTTGATGATTATCTTTTTCATTTCATGTTGCATACGTGGCAGCTGGCTCAATTGACGTATTGTGCGCGTTTAAACTTCGCCTTAATCAAACGTGGAAAATGCGAGGAGTGGACTTTCACTCTGTATAGACGGCAGAAACTCTGTTTCCATGACATCATATTGACTTGCATGCTCTGAATAAAATGTGGAGAGCACAAGGCGCAATTCACCCAGCGAATGGCATTCATAAGAATGATAATGGTTTACCTTTTGATCGGATTTTTCTTCATCTATGACGCTTCTCAAGGTTCGCTAGGTGATTTCTTTGTTAGTCCTGTGAAATCAAGTGAAATGGCAGCTACTCATGACAGTTCGGTGATGAGACGCAATTACCCACAGTTTCGACCACCCTGGCACGTCACTAGCCCACCGCACGGGATCAATCCATAGTAGCACGAGAATGAAATGTATACCGTAGCTAAAGGCCATCCCATATGAGTGTGGACTCTTTGATCTCGTTTTATTTGAAGGTGCAATTTTCATAGCTGAAAATATGCTCTACAAACTGAAGTCTTAGCTTTGATTTTGGAGTGAAACAATTTGTGATAGATTTGAAAATGTTAGAAACAGTTTTAGACGACCTGATCATTTAATATTTCTTGAACATTAGACTCCAGACTCATGACCTCTGCTCCTGGGCTCTTGGACTATATGTAACTTATACTTCTCCCTGATGGCGTTTTAAACCCAGATTGAAACTATCACTTTCACTGTACTCCCAGCTTTGGCTGGCGAGTTAGACTTTCTTGAAGTTTTGACTTGCAATGTTCCAACTGGGGAGCAAACCACAGAAGAAATGAAATTAGCCAGAGATTTTGGTGTTTCTTGTAATGGGATTGATTGTATTTGTTAGTGGTGAAAATTTTGTTAAAATCCTTTTTTAACAAAAAAAACCTATATCTGCTTGAAGATAATTTAAAACTAAAAACCTGACGATGATTTTGAACTGCGAATCAGACAATTCTAATCGCATATTTCTTGTGCTTTCCAGGAAACTAGTCCATCACGAATTTTGATCCCCCACGATCCATATTATATTAAACAAATTGTTGAACATTTTGCAGAAAAGCCTAGTGATTTTGATATGGTTACGCTGATCTTGTGGCCGCGTCGCAAGGCTTCCATACAGTGTACGTATTCGAGAGTTGCACGTAACTTGCAGCATTTTCTGGTTCTAGCTCGATCAACCTCTGTGCTGCATGTTTTGCAACTTTGACATTGCCATGAACTCTGGAAGAACCAAGCAGAGAACTCCATAGCACCGAGTCTGGCTGCACGGTCATCTTCTTGACGAGGGCCTCCGCTTCGTTCAGCCAACCCGATCGTCCCAAGAGATCAATAAGGCAGCCATAGTGCTCAATACCAGCGGCCAGACCAAGCTCCTGAGTCATGGCTATGAAGAAGTAGCAAGCGTCCTCTACAATGCCCGCATGGCTGCACGCCGAGAGCACATTTATGAAAGTCACTTCATCCGGCTTGACGCCTTCCTGTTGCATCCTCTCGAAGATCTTCCGGGCATGCTCCATCTCCCCGTGCTGAGCGTATCCAGTTATTACGGCCGTCCAGGAGTTCACCATGGTCTTGTCGTCCATGGCTTCGAAGATCCGCCGTGCAAGCTTGAGGCTCCCACACTTGCCATAGAAGTTGATGAGAGAGCTCTGGACGAGGGGGGTCGAGGAGCAGCCAGCTTCGGCGATGGTGGCGTGAATTGCCTTTCCAACAGGCAGAGTTGCAAGGCTCGAGCAGGAAGTGAGAGCCGCGACGAAGGTGGTGGGGCTTGGCTTCATGCCTTCGAGGAGGATCCGGTGGTAAAGCTCGAGAGATTTTCTCCACAGGCCGAGCTGGGAGTATGCTGACACCATTACCGTCCCGGCTATCACGTCCCAGCAATCATCCAGCTCCTCGAATGTCTTCTCGACGTCTTGCAAGCTCCCGGACTTCCCAAACAGGTTGAGCAACGCGTTCTTCACGGCAAAGTCCGGCTCGTGTCCACTTTGAGCCACCAAGGAGCGAACCAGTGCTACTTCCTCGGCTGGCAGAGCTTGCGAATTTGCGCAGGCGTTGAGAACCGTGACGAGCGTGACTTTGTTCGGTTTGGTACCATCCAGCAGCATCTGCTTGAAGAGATGCAATGCTGCTCTCGAGTTTCCAGCGTCGGAGTATCCTCCGATGATAGCAGTCCAGAGAACGACGCCCCTCCGCGAGTGCTTGGCAAAGATCCTGTGAGCTTCTTCCAGCCCTCCACACTTGCAGTACATATCAACGAGAGCGCTGACGACGACATCAGTGGATTCGTAACCGGTTCCAACGAGGTTGGCATGAATCATCCGTCCTCGCTCCAAGAAACTCTCGCTGCAAGCGTTGAGAACCGTGGTAAAGGTGACGTTCGTGGGACGCAAGCCTTCCAGCTGCATCCGGTGGTACAACTCAAAGGCAAGGTCGCAGTAGCCATTGACAGAGTACGCTGCGATCAAGCTGTTCCAGGATACAACATCCTTGCGCGGCATCGTCTCGAAAGTCGTCCTGGCATCGCCCAAGCTCGCGCACCTCCCATACATGCTGACCAGGGCGTTCCGGACTTGAGCTTCGTTCTCCCGGCTGCCGCTCGTCGCGAAGCTCTCCTCAACGTTGGAGTGGATCAGCCTCGCGGTGTACAAGTCGACTGGTCCCGTGCAAGCGTTCATGATTGAGAGAAAGGCAACGTCGTTTGGAAGCTGGCCATCGAGCTGCATTCTCCGGTAGAGCCGAAGAGCTTCCGAGTTGAGCCCCGCGAGCGTGTACCCGGAGATGATGGCGTTCCAGGAGATCACGTCTTTTGAGGCGCACGAATCCTCGAACACGCTCCTGGCGGTGGTAAGTTGGCCTCCGTTTCCATACATGCTCACCAATGCGTTGCAAACAACAGTCTCGCAGGACACTCCCAGGCTGACGATCCTCTCGTGCATCTCCTTGACGATGCTGCTGGCGATGGTGGCCGGATCGCTGCACGCGTTGAGGATGGTGACGAGAGTGAAGGCGTCGGGTTTCATCCCCTCGAGCTCCATCCGCCGGTAGACCCCGAGAGCTTCCGTGAAGCCCGAGCAAGACGCATAGGCGGCGATGAGAGTGTTCCAGGAGATCACGTCGGGCTGCCAGAGGCTCGCGAAGGCCACGCAAGCGTCGTCGAGGCACCCACACTTTGCGTAGAGATCCACAAGCGAGTTCCCCACCCGTGGGATGGCGTCGAATCCTTTCTCTAGCACGTAAGTGTGCATCTCTCTCCCTTGATCAAGAGCTCTAAACTTCGCGCAGCAGTTGAGCAGGGTGACGAAGGTGATGCTGTCCGCGAAAACTCCCTGGAGCAGCATCTCTCGAAACACTAGGAGTGCTGGTTGCAAATGCCCTTTCTGTGCAAATGCTGCTATCAGCCTTGTCCAAGTGATCACGTCTCTCTCGTGGAGCCGCGAGAAGAGATTCCATGCGTCCCAGACACTGCCACAGCTGAGGTACCTGTGGACGATGGCGCTGCTCAGAAAGAGATCGTCGCCAAGCCCGTGCTCGACAATCCTGGTGTGAACTTCCAGCACGGATTTCTTGGAGGTGCATTCCTTGATTGCTGTGGCGAGCGACTTTGCGTCCAGGGAGAGAGAAGAAGTTGCCAGGCAGCGCGTGCCAATCTCAGTCGTCGTCGCGATCATCGCCGGGCAGCGACGACGCATTCTTCGCTCCTTTGCCTGCCATGCTCCCTCCCTCTCTTTAGGGCGCGGTGCTCCAGAGATTTGGGAAGTATCGTCTTGGGTCGCCTTGGATTCCCCTGGAGAGAGCCATGAGTAGTTGCATTGATCCCTCCAACGCGCGGGGAGGTCTTCCCGGAGGTCACCCTCTAGATCTACACCCGGCTGATGGCTTTTTCGGGCACCAGGATCCACGAGTAAATCTCTGGAAGGACCAAGTCATTCCTTTCAAAGAACATACATAGATTCCATTGATAACTACTTATATAAGAGGCCCTTTAATCTAGGGTTTGGATGGCGGAGGGTTCTCCAAGAACGCACAGCGTGAGCAATGAGATTGAGTGCTACCATGCACTTGCTGTTATTGGCTGCCCCGAGGTCATGCTTGTGGTGGAGGGGATACTCATCTTAGAGGCAGAGTACAACCAGGTGTTTGGGGAGACGCACAAAAGTGTGCCGCATCCAGAGGATGTAGATGTGATACTCAATAGCCTCGAATCAGGGGAAGCTAAGGATTCTTTTAGTCGCTTTGCTCAGGCACTGTATAAGGGAAGTCGTGATGATCGTCTTAAGCCTGCAATCGCTAGAACAGGGGCTCGCCTCTTTTGGGCTGTAGCGCGCACAGTAGCTGCAAAGTATCCGGACAACGTCTGGCTGCAGAATATGCTTGCATCGGACGAGGCCCGTTTGGAGATGATCAAGGCTTGGAGCCATGTTTTCAGCTGGAGGACGCACATCAATGTGTCTCATTCATTCATCGTCATCGGGACGGACTTGGAGATGGCGAATCCTCTCGAAGTTTTGCGTTATGTGGCCCAGAAGTGCGAAGAGAGCAAGGTAGCACACCGCAGGGAGCTCGGTCGTCTCCTTCAGGCTAGCCTGCCTTTTGTGGAGGCTTCAGTTGCGAGACACAAGGAAGAAGTGTGCCGCAGAGAAAAAGAAGAGGAGTCTCAAGCTGAGATGATGAAGTGCTTGTTGCTACCTCCGATCGCTCACCTGTAGCTTTAAAGCGAGCTGCATCCGTCTGTAGAGCTTGGCAGCGCACGAATACTCAAACTTGCAAGCTCCTGCTCTCAACATAGATTATTAAAGTAGTTCATTTTTATATGTCAAATTAAGAGTCAATACAATATACAGTGTGAGCATTGAAATCATGCACTTGGCTGATAATAGTAATTCTTCGTTTCCCATACCCTTAAATTTTTTTAAACATTCTGCTTTCTTTCTTTTTTAATTTTTTTCTTTAAGTTCATTCTATGTTAAAAAGAACATAACTGCACGGTTTGCTTTTGTACCATTTAATAAATAACTATAATTTATCAATTTTAATCATAATAAAACTGAGCAAAGGTTTGATGCATTGAAGAATATAAAGTTACACTAGAGAATTATTTATGTTAGTTTGAAATGAAAGTTTAACATAAAAAATTTACCTTTTAGTAGAGGCTTCTAAACATAAGTTATATTTCTCTTTTAATAGATGTAAATTTCTTATGTGAAAATTTGTTATAGGATATATAGAGTTATAAGCTTAATCATGATAGTTGCAAAGAGGTTATGTAATATTGGAGTGAGTTTAATTTTGTCATGTTTTGCATAGTTTAATTCTAGAGCACAAAATTAGGAAAACTCTTCAAAAATTATTCCATGGTGAGTTTATCTTTGGATTTTCTGTGGAATAACCTTTTTCATTCACATGAAAGAGTATGATCCAAGAGTTAGTGGTTTACTGAGTGTTATAATAATGTCTTATATATTTATCTTTAAGGTATGAATTAAGTTGTTTTTCCAAAAATATAACAAAGCAAATTGAAAGAAAAAATGTGCCTATTATTATTGCTATTGAAAATCATTATATGAATCTTCTTCACATGCTCTTCTTCACATGTTCGTCTTTGAACATAAGAGCTCTCAAATCTAGGAGATTGATTGATACATTTTAGTTATTGTAACATGTCAAAAAATTTGGGTTGCAAATCAAATTAATAGATATTTGTAGTATACTCTAAAAATATATCTAAAGGTAACTTACAAAAATACCTCTAAATGATTTTAAAAATTGCAAAAATGTCTATGGAAGTTTTAAAATTAAAAATATGCCTAAATCAAGCTTTAAAAACTAAAAAATCACATCAAAATAATCTAGAACCACTTATAACTTGCTCAAATTAATTGAAAATCAGTTATCAATATATTTATGAGTTGCAACTAATTTTGCAACATCATCTACAATGAAAAATCTACTTCTCATCCAATATTTTCAATTTGGATGTGCTTATTTTTCAAGTGATCTGGAGGGTAATAGGTTTTTTGTGGCAGTATCTAAACCCTTTAAATCCATTAAATATATAATGCTCCTCAATTAAGTAGCATGGTGAATATAGTGTTAAACACTCACATTAGTAAAAACTTGTTAATAACACAAAAGCATATGTACTATTGGTTTTCTACTAGCCAAAATAAGAGTAAGTTTTCTCCATGAATTTCACGATACAAAATATGCATGTTAGTATGTATTTTAAATACCTTCATACTTTCTAATTGAACACGATAAAAATAGCCACTATTATATATTTCATGATTTAGCTTTTTACTGTTTCAAAAGACTCATAATTACTAATCCCTTATATCACACACCTACGCTAAAATAATCAATTTTGAAATTTGTTTGTTAAATTGCCATTTGAGTTGATACTAAAGAAGTGTTGTATCTTTTTACATTCAGTGTGGTTAATGATGCAAATTAGACATACTTTTTACATAAATTGAAAATGTATAGCTAAAGCATTTAGCAAAGAAGTTCCAAAACGAATTCAAAAGTTTAAAGCCATCTCCTTTGGAAAATAATTTAAACTATTTTTTTAATTGATTTCAAGGATGTTATGTAGGTGATATATGAAAAAAAATTCAACATAGCAATTTATATATTAGCAATTACAAATAAAAGACATTGACCAATTACTTTTCTCGAGGGTGAAATATTTAACATCCAACATCATTAAATTCTTCTTCAACTCAATCTTTTATCAAAGTAATGCTTTATAAGATGCATTAAATTTAAATCTACCAAAGGTTTGCAAATTTAAAAGTGTTAATAAAGCATTTATCATTTTTCTATAATCAATCAAAGAGAACAATTTGAGAAATGATCCATAAAAGTTTAAATATAAAAAGAAAATGGCTCATGAATACAAATACACTTTTTTTTCAATTGGTTTAAAGCTATTAAGATATTTAGGGTTAAACATCTTTGGGTTTAGTGGGTGACTTCTCAGGAAATCTAAATTCAAAAGTTTGCATTCTTTTTAGAAGGAAATACTACAATTGCTTATAATGAATTTTCGATAATGAACTATAAATTTAAGTTATCATTAAGAATGATAATAGCTTTTTTGCACTCTTGCCATCCTTTTATATAAAATATATTCACACCATCTTTTAGTTAAACTTTTCTACTCATGTTTTTTATTTTAAACATATGCTTTTTCACTAAATTTTGATAGAACCTATTAGCAATTTGAATGGAAAGAACTTCTTTATTTTCCAAATGTATAGCTCCACTATATTTATAATTGCTTGTGCATGGAATAAAGTGGCTTTCTTTCCAGTATATTTAGAATTGTTTGTGAATGAAATAAAATAGACCTCTTTCTAATATTAAATTATGAAGTTTAATGACAATTTTTATTCTTATGATATCTTATATATTTATTTTTATATGATCCAATCACAAATAACTTAAAATCTCAATAAATAGCCTTTTGCTTTTTTTTCTTGTGAACTTCCTTGATTAAGTCAAAATACATTTTAGCATTAATTAGGTGAATTTTAGTAATTTTATAATTTGTAAGAGAATAAAAATGTTAAAATATTTTTTTACTAAATATTAGAATAATGTAAAGTTATAGTGAACATAAATGGAAAGGAATAAAGTAAAGTTAAAGGTGTACATAAGTTTTTTTTTTCAAATTAATATGTAGAATAAATAAATAATACTATATCAAAAGGTGATTTTATATAAATTAATGCAAAATTTAAGTAATATTCTCCCTCATAAAGGTATTTTCTAATACTTCACATTAAAAAATTTATAATTTATTCATATAAAAGATAAATTTATAAAATTTCTTTAAATAGAGAGAGAAATAAATAATTTTAAAATTTCACCAATACTTTTTATGAAAAACAAAATCACATTTAATGAATTTCATTAATATTTTTATGCCCTTGCTAAATATAATTCATGATAACCTACATAATATATATCAAAATTTAGTATTATAATTATACTTATTTAAATTTTTATTTAATGTCATAAATTTTCTTTAAATTTTATAAATAAAAGTAATATTTATTGTGACATGTATTTAATAGAGATATTAGGTAGTCATGTCAAAAGAATTAGAATGAATTTATGTTTAAAATAGATATTTAATTTGAGTATCAGAAAATAAGTTTTTATTAAGTGTATATAGAATAAATTTTTAGCAATATTTTTTATTTTCTTTAGAAAACTTGTACAAAATAAAGTGTAAATAATATATTTTAAATTTATAAATAAAATTTTTATAAATTTATAATTGGCCATTTTCTTTATGTTTTTTGTTGTTATATTTTAATATAAATCTTATTTAAATTAATACGTAATTAACAATACTTAGCTTTTTTATTAACAAAATTTTTAAATATAATACCTAAATATCTATTCAATTTAATATTTATAATTTTCTTTATTAAATTTTTAACTTTTTTATTTTTAATTTGCAAATACTTTTTTGATAGTGCTAATTTTTCTATACCTTTAGTTGTTTTCTTAATCAAATATATTTTATCTTGAACTTTGACTTGATGACTTTTGTGTCCAGAAAAGAAGTTGTGAGGCCAGCACGTACCAATTTCAGTCCGACAACTCGTTCTTCGCTTCTTTGCCTGCCATGCTCCTCAAGTCTGGCGCGGTCCTTCAAAGATTTGTGATGTGGCCTTGGATTCCTTTGGAGAGAGCGATGAGCACTTGCATTGATCCCTCAAACAATGCGTGGCGAACTGGGGAGTTCCGGGGCAGCCTGATCGAGAGAATCCAGCAGCAACAGCAGCTGGAAGATGTTCTGGATCATCTGGAGAGGGCGGAGCTCTTTCCAGAGATCACCCTCTACGCCCAGCTGCTCAAAACGGCCATCGCCTTGAGCTCTCTTTCTACCGGCATCAGGATCCACGAGCAAATCTCTCGGAGCGGATTTCAAAGGAACGGATTGTTGGGGAACTTGCTGCTCCAGATGTATGTCAAGAACAGTCTGATTGATACAGCTGGTAAGCTTTCCATTGACAAGTCAGAGTGGGGAGTTCTATTGTGGACTAACGCTATTGCGGCATATGCCCGGAGAGGGTATATGCAAGAGGCGCTGCGGCTGTTCCAGGAGATGCTGCTCGAGGCCTCTGCTAGGCCGGACGGGGTGGTGTTCGTCACGGTTCTTGGAGCCTGCCGGAGCCTCGACTATGGTAAGACGATTCACGCTTGCATTTGCGAGCACGATCTCGAGCTTTCGAACGTAGTCGTGAACACTGCTCTCATGAACATGTATGCCAGGTGCGATAGCGTGGAGGACGCGAGGAGGGTCTTCAACCAGGCCAAGCACGATCGAAACGTGATCATGTACACGACCATGATCGCGGCTTACGCCGAGATCGAGCAGTGCAAACCCGAAGCCGTTCGTTTCTTCCGGGAGATGCAGCAAGAAGGCGTGTTGCCCGATAAGATCTGTTTCGTGGCGACGCTCAACGCTTGTGGTGGTGCCTTGGCAGACTTGCGACTCGGGAAGTTGATCCACTCGTGCGTGCTCGAGGCCGGATTGGAATCCAACACAGTGGTGGCCACAGCTCTCGTCAACATGTATGGAAAAGCCGGTTGTTTGGACGAGGCCACCAGAGTTTTCAGGGGACTAGGGAGGAAAGACTTGGTTTCCTGGACTGCTCTCATGTCTGCTTACTCAAGGGAAGATCTTTACAGGGAAGCACTGCAGCTGTTTCGAGAGATGACTCTACATGGCGTGAAGCTCAACGAGGTTGGCTACATCTCGGTTCTCGACGCATTTGGCTGTCCAGACGCTCTAGCAGCCGGGCGAAGCGTGCACGAATGCATACTGGAAACCGGGTATGCTTTTAGCGTCAACGTCGCAAACGCAGCAATCAGGATGTTCGGCCGCTGCTCGAGCGTCCAAGACTCTTGGAACGTTTTCGAGAAGATGGCAGTCAAGGACGTGATCTCCTGGACCAACATCAGCACGACGCTCGTCCAGCATGACCGCTGCAGCAGCGTCATCCAGCTCTACAGATTGATGCAGCTTGACGGGACAAAGCCGGACAGGAGCTACTTTGCATTCTTGCTTCAAGCCTGTGCGACTTTATCCGCGGCTGCCGAGGGCCGGCTCGCTCACCGGCGGATCCAAGAGTGCGGCTACGACTCCAGCGACGGTGTTCTCGGCCTTGGGATCATCAACATGTATGGGAAGTGTGGGAACTTACGAGCAGCACACGAAGTGTTCGATGGAATGAGCGAAAGGGACACTGTGGCGTGGACGACGATCATCTCAGGCTATGCTCACCACGGCCACTCGGAGGAGTCTCTTCTGATGTTTTGGAGAATGCAACAGGACGGTTCCAAGCCGGACGGCGTCAGCCTCTTGTGCGTGCTCTCGGTGTGCAGCCATGCCGGCTTGGTAGAACAGGGATGGGACTTCTTCCTCGACATCACCAAAGAGTTTGGAGTGGAGCCAGGAGAGAAGCACTATGGCTGCATGATCGATCTTCTCGGGCGCTCGGGTGACTTGGAAGCGGCCGAGGTTATGATCCGGAGGATGCCGTTCCAGGCGACTGCTATGAATTGGGCGATCTTCCTGGCGGCATGCAAAGTCCACAGCGACACCGAGCGAGGCAAACGAGCAGCCGAGAAGGTGTTGGAGCTAGAACCGGTCCCCGCAGCGTACGTGAGCCTGTCAAACATTTATGCTGCTGCTGGAGAGTGGGATCAAGTCGATCGCGTGAGAAGTGCGATGAAGGCAATGGGATTGCAAAAGGATCCAGGACGGAGCTCCATCGAAGTGAACAGCCGAGTTCACGAGTTCTGGGCCGGCGATAAGTCGCATCCTCGAGCAGCTGAGATCTACGGATTGCTGGAAAGCTTGACGAGGCAAATGGAGGGGTCGGGCTACGTGCCAGACACGAAGCTGGTGCTGCTCAACGTGAGCGAGGAGCAGAAAGAGAGGCTGCTTTGCTTCCACAGCGAGAAACTCGCCATAGCTTTTGGTCTTCTCAGCACACCCGCAGGAAGCTCGTTGCGGATCATCAAGAACCTCCGGGTGTGCGGGGACTGCCACACCGCCGCAAAGTTCGTCTCCAGGATTGCTGGACGAGAGATCTTCATGCGGGATTCTCAACGCTTTCACCACTTCCAGGATGGCCACTGTTCTTGTGGTGATTACTGGTAACAACATAAGCATCAGAGAAACTGTGATCGATCTGCAATATGTCGGGATAGCTACACATCGTCCATAGCCAGAGCAAACTGACGAATGCCCTGGGGCTTTGTCTCGTCCTCCAGTGTAAGTTCGTTTCCATCATCCTTGATCCTCCTCCAGTGCTACCACGCATCATCAAACAGCTCCGCCGTTGTCACAACACGGTGTCACAATGTATAGCTCTACTTGTTTACCGCTCGTCACGCCAAATCTCTCCATGACTTCCAGCACTGCACTCGGTACGAGGCCATGAACAATTGCAGCACCAACACCGTGCTTTCGTCACACAGGTGCGAGAGCTTGAAAGCCTGGACAGATCCCTCGCTCCTGACATTCTCCAGACAAAAGATCACGTCCTAGCAGTCATCCGGGGCGTCGCCCGCTTCCGCGATGGTCCTAGGAGCCCCAAACTCGAAGAGCGCCATGAAGGTTTTCGCCTGGCGATAGCCCACCTGATCGAAAAGCGCGCGAGCTCGGTACATCCGCACCCCGGTTGCGTGCTTCTGGAAGGCCGATCCAAGCAATGCGCTCTTGAGAGCTCCAAATGGTCCCAGGACGACTTGAGCTGGAGGAAACGCCGCAACTCGACGTTGTGCTAGTCCCGAAGTCCCTCGTAGATGGCGTGCTTAACGTAAGGCGATGCAAACATGAGATCAGAGTCCTCATACCCGACGACCACCTTCATGTAGAGGAGATCGAGTGCTGGAAACACGCCTTCTCGCTCTTGTGTGATCACGGAAACGAGTTCTTGCATAGACGATACGCCTCCAATAACTTTGGTTAGCTCTGAACGATCGACGTCCTCCAAAACTCTCCATGGTATACTGCCGATACTTCGTTTTCACGTCATCCAGATCGCTACCTGACGACTCCTCAAAATCTTTGTAATTCGCCCTTACCGGCGTGGAAGCGAATGCCTGTTTTGAGGTCGACCAAAAGGTCAGGAAGCGATCCATCGGCAAGGAACCACCTGGTCAAGTTACACATCGTCGTAGCTTGAGACACGATAGCCGTTGGCTGCATCGCAACCAAAGTAGTAGACGTTGCCACCTTTGGTCCTGAAGAATCTTCGCTGTTAGATCCACGAGGGCGTATAGAAGAAACGCAGGATCGCGTTCTTGTCATTGGGTTTGCCGAGACCACGATCTTGTAGTACTGCCTCTCCAAAATCTTCATCTGCTTTCCCCAGATCTTCTTGCTGGAGAGATCGAGAAAGCGGAGTGTCGGCAAAACTGAAGAGCTCTATACAGGAAAGCAGCATTCCGAAATTTAGCAAAGACAAAAAATCACAGAACACTGGTCAATAGCATTTTTCTTTTCGAGAGTAACAGATTTCCACACAAACTTCTGTTGAGCGAGTTGCTCCAACCTTGATTCTCTTTCGACTTTTTGAGGAAAGAGTTTTAACGGAGTACGCATAATTACTGGCAGCCAGAAACATGTTCTCCCCAACACAGACCACTCCATTGTCTAGACGATCAGAGTGTTCAAAATCAGTCAGGCGTCAGAGTGAACCTGACGCTGATTGAAATAAAGGAGCCACACTAACAGAAACGCAAACATTTTTTGATTAACTTGTATTCCAATCAAGTCCCCCATGAGTTGTTCCAAGTCCCTCTTCCAGTCTCTTGGATAGTGTTAGTCGCATACAGATAGTTCCAAGCGTCGTTATGCACAGGGCTTCCATTCTCGTCACCACTCGCATATACGAATCGCAGTGTTCTCGTCCTCCCGAATGCCAACACATCGACGACTTCGCAACCGATCGACACGACCTTCAACATAGGCCCCGCCGCCAAAACTCTTTGATTTAAACGTATAAATTTTGTTTTAATATAACAGTACTGTTCTCAGAAATGGAGAAAGAAATGTAGCTGAGCTTTCATGTCAACCTAATCTACTGCGGCAAAGGTGGTGACGAGAAACGCCATGTAGTTGTCTTAAAAGTGTTGCTAACTCTTTCTCCTTGGAAAGAACCGGGAGACGCCACGCTCTCAATCCCCTCTAGATCTTCCTTGGAGAGAGACACTCCAAGAGAAGCTCGATTCTCTTCAAAGTTTTGGAGCTTGGTGGTGCCTGGAATGGGAACAACATCGTCACCTTGGTGCTGGACCCAAGCCAGAGCAAGCTGCCCCGGAGTGCACGCCTTCTTCGCAGCTATCTTGCAAAGCTTTTCGTATATGACTTTGTTGCGCTCCAAGTTCTCTCCTTGAAACTTTGGAATGGTCTGTTATATATCATGTGATAATCATATCGAGATCATGAATGGAGATACATACCTTTCGGAAATCTCCGTCCCCAATTTCCTCCGCCACTGTTTTCCCCGAAAAAAATCCTTGTCCTAGAGGACTGTATGGAACGATTCCAATTCCTAGCTCCCTAATAATTATCCAGGCCTAAACGTGTTATACGTGATCCATGATGCACTAAGAAACTTGATCTTACCTGCAAGTTGGAACTACTTCCTCCTCAATGTCACGAGTCCATAGAGACCATTCAAGCTGGACTGCAGTGATTGGATGGATGGCGTGAGCGCGGCGGATATCTTCAGCAGATGCTTCGGAAAGTCCCAAGTATTTCACCTTTCCTTCCTCAACGAGCTCTTTCATCGCTCCAACCTGCATGATTTTTTTTTTTTTAATTCATAAACACAATGCTATCGATTAAAAAAAATGGAAGTACCGTGATCTCGATGGGAACACTCTGATCAACGCGGTGCTGGTAGTAGAGATCAATGTAGTCGACCTGGAGCCTCTTCAAGCTGGCCTCGCAAGCGGCACGGACGTAAGCGGGATCCCCTCGGATGGCCATACCACTCAACTTGCCGCTTTCGGGAATAGTTATTCCAAACTTTGTAGCGAGCTGCACCTTGTCCCGAATGCCTTGAATTGCCTGAAAAAATGGCCAATGCATTGGAAAGGGAAGAGCAAATAAGCTGTGGAGGTACTTGCCTTTCCAACAAGAACTTCGTTGGTATGTGGCCCATAGACATCCGATGTATCCAGGAATGTGACACCAGAATCAACAGCCTTGCGGATGAGATCGATCATTTCGGCCTCGGGCTTTAGAGGGCCATAAATTTTATGGGACATTCCCATGCATCCAAGCCCCTGCTTTGAGACTTCCAAGCCCTGAGGCCCCAGCTTTACCTTTGGAACTGCCATAGCCAATATCAAAGAGAAATAGAGGACAAATGTCTTGTGGGTGATGCAACCGGAGAAGACGAGCTACTTCCCATCCGCAATTGGAGGTGAATATAAAGACCTCCATTCCGCGGGCTGTTTCGTATCCGCTACCTTTGTCCCTTCCAGAAAGTAGAGAAATTAATTTGCTACAAAGACAAATTATTATTAGTGAAGATCCAGATGTGCATTTTGGATCCACTCTCTAACGTGCGAGAGTTGGCGAGGAAAAAACGCCATGCAGTTGATTCTTTCTTTCAATCTCCAGACCTTCATTGGAGAGAGTGATCCCAAGAGTATTCGAAGTTCTGGAGCCTGGGATGGGAACGATGTCGTCGCCTTGGTGCTAGACCCAAGCCAGAGCAAGCTGCCCAGAAGTGCAATTCATTCTCGCAGCTATCTTGCAGAACTTCTCGTATATGGCTTTGTTCCGCTCCATCTCTCCTTGAAACCTCGGCATGCTTGAGAAAAGGGGAGTAAAACTGAAATCATCGTCACCAATTTCTTCCACCACGGCGAAGTATCCTCGTCCGCAAGTTGCAAAGATTTCTTCCTCAATGTCACGGCTCTAAAGAGACCACTCGATCTGGACACCAGTGATTGGATGAATCGCGTAAACTACACGGATATCTGCAGCCGACACTTCCGAGAGTCCTAAGTATTTCACTTTTCCTTCCTCCACGAGCTCTTTCATTGCCCCAACCTTCATAAATTTGCGCATACTATAATCACGGCCATATGCCAATGAGATTTTCATTTGCACGGCTTCTTTCTTTTGCCTCTTTTCGTTTTGCTCTAGCCTCAGGCGATCAAAGGCATTCGGGACAAAGTCCAACTCGCTACAAAATCTGGAGTGACTCTTCCCGAAGGCGGGTGGCATGGCCATCCGAGGCGATCCCGCTTACGTCCGTGCTGCTTGCCTGAAAAGACTCCAGGTCGACTGCATTGATCTCTACTATCAACATCTAGTTGATCTCAATGTTCAGGTCGGTTTGCGAATGACATGGATAATTTCTTTGGAAGGCCATAGATGTGAAGAAGCGTCCCCTGTTTTGAAGGCCCTGAGAGCCGAGCTTTACTCTAACTTCCATCGCCATGGAAAATATCCGACCGGTCCGACCGGTCGGAACGGCCGAACGCGGTCGGAATTCCCGGTGTCGGCCGACCGCGGCCGACCGCGGCCTGTGTGAGCTGATTGAATCAGAGTGGTTCTTTCTCTCGCGCTTGAAGAAATTCTAAATTTTGCAGCTTCGGAACAGTCTTAAAAAGATCATGCTCGTGATAATGAAGCTTCACGATCCATAACCAAGTTACCATCAACAGATGACGAATCTATTCAATTTGGACCGCAGTTACGAGAGCTCGATGGATAACCCACCTGTGTGGATCACTGTATTAAACTTCACCGTGATTTCGGAAGAAACCCAATGAAGTCTACCTGAAGCATTGCCTCCAAGTAAGCGGGTACATTCTAGTTCTTCAGGGAAGCTTCTTCCCGCGTTTTCCAGACCACCATGAATCCGCTGGATCTAACTTCGTGAGCTTGAGCACGAGACCTTCGTACAGTTCTTCACAGAGATCGGCCAAAACTCGCGAGTCAATTCCCCTGGCTCGAGAAAGGATCTTATAAACTGCTCTATACGGCACTTAGGAAGAAAGAGGTGGTGTTGTCGCGAATCGCCAAGTCCTGGCCATGGACATATCACCATAGCGATCTCCCTTCACTCCGGCAACCGCATTTTCAATCTCGTTCATCTCCACCTTTGAAAGGGTCAGGTCCAGCGATCTAATGTTTTCCTTGAAGTTATTGAGCTTGGTGGTGCCTGGAATGGGGACAACGTCAACGCCTTGGTGTTGAACCCAAGCCAGAGCAAGCTGCCCTGTGGTGCAGTTCTTCGTGGCCGCTATCTTGCACAGCTTCTCGTAGATGACTTTGTTGTGTTCCAGGTTCTCACCTTGGAACCTTGGGACTAGCTGCTCGAGAAAACATGTTAGTTAGAATCAGCTTGAACTGTAAAGAGTACATCCAAAGCTTGCCTTGCGAAAATCTCCATCGCCAATCTCTTCTACGATGGCTTTTCCAGAGAAGAATCCTCGTCCAAGAGGACTATAAGAAACTATTCCGATTCCAAGTTCCCTGCAACTCAAGACTTGATCAAAACTTTGAATGGCAACGATCAGCTCACCCAACCTGCAAGTTGGAATAACGTCCTCCTCGACATCTCTACTCCAAAGGGACCATTCGAGCTGAACAGCAGTGATAGGATGGACTGCATGGGCTCGGCGAATATCTGCAGAAGAAGCCTCAGATAAGCCCAGATACTTCACTTTTCCTTCCTCCACCAATTTCTTCATCTCTCCGACCTTTCAAAACCAATAAAACCATCCATATCCGTATAGAACAGCGAGAAAAAATAAAATAAAATTCTAGAACAGTACCGTGATTTCGATGGGAACTTTTGGATCCACACGGTGCTGATAGTAGAGATCGATACAATCCACATCCAGCCTCTTCAAGCTGCCCTCGCAAGCAGCACGGACGTAAGCTGGATCACCACGGATCCCTTGATTCCCCTTCTCGTCCACGAAGAATGCAAACTTGGTGACCACTTGGACCTTGTCCCTGATACCCTTGATCGCCTAGAAGCCGAAAAAAATCCACGAAATGCTTAGCCAAATCCTACCTTGCCGACGAGGACTTCGTTGGTGTGAGGCCCGTACTTGTCCGCAGTGTCGAGGAATGTGATCCCCGACTCGATCGCCGTACGAATGAGCTTGATCATCTCCTCCTGCGGCTTGGGAGGGCCGTAAAATGCCGACATTCCCATGCATCCGAGGCCTTGCTTGGAGACCTCGAGACCTTGAGATCCGAGGTTGATGCGCTGCACCATTGCCAAGCAAAAAACCCTTTTTCTTCGCCAAATCTAGATTGCATAAAGACCATTCCCTTCGTTCGTATCCGCATCCTTCGTGCCTTCCTGGAAGTGGAGAAATTAATTTGCTCTACTTAGTGCATTGTAGTTGCTTCTTCTTAGCGAGTGCAAAGCATTTTTTTTTTTTTTTTCCAGAGGTGAGGATCGACTGTCTAGCTTGTGAGAGGTGGCGAGGAAAAACGCCATGTAGCTGTTACATAGTTTTCGCTGATTCTTTCTCCCTTGAAAGAGCCCACTCTTTCAATCTCCTCTAGATCTTCCTTGGAGAGAGAGAGCTCAAGAGAAGCTAGATTCTGTTCGAAGTTCTGGAGCTTGGTGGTGCTTGGAATGGGAACAACGTCATCACCTTGGTGCTGGACCCAAGCCAGAGCAAGCTGCCCGGAAGTACAATTCTTTCTCGCAGCTAGCTTGCAGAGCTTCTCGAATATGGCTTTGTTGCGCTCTAGGTTCTCTCCTTGAAACCTCAGAAGGGTCTGTGGGTGACATGCTTGGGAGTAACGGAAGCCACCACGGCCTTTCCCGAGAAGAATCCTCGTCCAGGACTGTATATAACAATTCCAATTCCTAGCTCCCTATGATCAGATCAGCAGCAAAGCTGGTAAACACGTCGATGATTCGAGCTTTGCTTACCTGCAGGAATGATTTCTTCCTCGATGTCACGGCTCCAGAGAGACCACTCGATCTGAACAGCAGTGATTGGATGAATCGCTTGAGCTCGACGGATATCTCCAGCCGACGCTTCCGAGAGTTCACTTTTCCTTCCTCCACGAGCTCTTTCATCGCCCCAACTTGTGCATGAGATCATCATAAGTTTGCGCATACTATAATCACAGTACGAACTTACTGTCACCTCGATTGGAACATTGAGATCAACTCAGTGTTGATGGAGTCGACCTGGAGTCTTTTAAGGCTGGCTACGCGGACGTAAGCGGGATCGCCTCGGATGGCCATGCCACTGAAATCGCCGCCTTCGCGTTCGGGAAGAGTTACTCCAAATTTTGTAGCGAGTTGGATTTTTTCCCGAATGCCTTTGATCGCCTGAGGCAAGAGAAAAACGAAGAAAGTTGCGCCTCCATAGCCATGTAAAGAAAACGAGCGAACATCACGAACAAAAGCCGAGCTTTACCAAACGAACAGAACGCTAGATAGAACGAAACGAAGAAAGTTGCGCAGAAAAAGGTGATGGATTGCGTATGGCTTCGTCATCGCGCTTTCGTCGAGCTTCGTCCAAGCGCCAAGGACTTAAATGATTCCCTGTTGCCACAACTTGTCCAATCCAACCAGTATATTTCTCCACGCCCACAAGTCGTCCACCGAGATAGGGGAGAACGCTATGCACAAAGAACATCCGACCGGTATCCGACCGGGTTGGGCGGTCGGCCGACCGGTCGGAACGGCCGAACGCGGTCGGAACGTCCCGTTCGGGTGTCGGCCGACCGGACCCGACCGGGGCCGAACGGGTGTTTTTAGATAGCTGATTGAATCGGAGTGGTTTTTCCTAGATAGTAAGCTTTCCACTCCCGCATTCTCGCGCCTGAAGAGTGTGACGCAAAGAAGTTTTTTTTCAAAGTTTTGGAAGTAACCATAAACAGATTTCATTCAAAATGTGGACTGCAGTGAAAGTGTGCTGCGTGAGCTCCACGGATATCAACAGCAGATGCTTCAGAGAGTCCACAAGTGTTTCACTTTTTCTGCGCCCTTGGCGTGGTCACTGTTCCTTGTTAGAAGATTTCGGGTGCTAAAAGTAAAGTCTACTTGGAGCCTCGGGATGGATGGCCACGGATGGTCCATTTTACTTCTGATTGCCCCTGCATCCCCTTGAAAAGGATAGAAATGTGAGCAAAACTGGCTAGTTTGGATGACCACCGAGCACTTGCCTTTCCGATGAGAATCTCTATACACGTCATATGGATACTTGACTAGCCAGTTGCGGTGAGTTCGCGTTGTTACCTTGCTCGAACAAGACACGACTCACAACGGCATCAGTGCTTGAAAAGAAGGTACCACTTTTGACTAAAGCCGATCTCCATTAGTTTCCTACAGTCAAGCAGCATCAGCGTCAAGAAGAAAAACGAAAACACGAAGGAAGAAAAATAGAAAAGAGAACTCATACCTTTTCTTGCCTGAAACGTCTGCGCTTCTTAAGCTTCAACAATGTAAGAGCATCCACCTCACTCCCATTTATCAGATTTCCTAGCAACACATACGCTGCTTCGTTTGATGGATCAGCGTTGAGAGCGTTTTGTCCAGCACGGGTCCCCAAAGCTACACTCTTCCTAGCGCTGCAAGCTCCCAGCAGGCACAGCCAGTCTATCGCATCCGGAACGTAAGGCATGCTGAGGATCAAGCTTTCAGCCTCCCGCAAGTACCCCGCACGACCAAGAAGATCAGCCATGCAGCTAAAGTGGTGCTTGCCGGCTTTCACCTCGAAGTCCCTCAGCATCGAGCAGAAGAAACTCCACCCAAGATGAACATCGCCCAGGTGATTGCAGCCGTGAAAGATGGAAGCAAACGAGGAATCGTTCGGCCTGAGTCCATCCACTGCCATGCTCGCAAAAAGCTCCAAGCTCTTTGCGGAGTTCCCGCATTGTGTGTTTAGAGCCAGCATAGTGTTCCAGGCGACCACGTCTCGGACCGGCATCGCTTGGAACAAACCACTGGCGGATTCCAGGCGTCCATTGTGAGCGTAAACCAAAACCATGGTACTCCACGAAACCACGTCCGGCACCGGGATAGAAGTGAAGAACCACATCGCGTCCTCCAAATGGCCGTTGTGCATGTAGCTGCTGAGCATACAGTTCCACGTAACTAAGTCCTGTTCCGGCATGAAATCAAACGCGGACTTTGCAGCTTCCAGCTCCCCGCTCTGAGCAAAAGCCGCTAATACGGCGTTCCAGGAGACCAAGTTCTTCTCCGGCATAGAGTCGAACAGCGCCTTTGAGTCACCCAAGCACCCGTTTTGGACGTAAGCCGCGAGCACTGTGTTCCACGAGACCACGTCCAGTTCCGGCATGAGAGCGATGACCTCGAGAGCTGCTTGTAGGTTCCCGGCTTGCGCATAAGCAGCGAGCATCGAGTTCCACGAAACCATATCCTTGTCGGGTGCACCATCAAATAGTGCTTTTGCTTTCTCGGAGAGTCCCCGCTGGGCGTAAGCAGCCAGCATGGCGTTCCAGGCGACGAGGTTCCTGTCCGGCATGGCGTCGAAGAGAGCTTTCGACTGTTCGATATCCCCGGCCTGGGCATACGCGCACAGCATTGCAGTCCAGGACACGTAGTTCCTGAGCGGCATTTGATCGAAGACTCTCTTTGCGCGCTCCGCTTGTCCTGCCTGTGAGTATCCGGCCAGAAGAGACGTCCACGAGACCACATCCCAGTCTGGCATCGCATCGAAGAGAGCCTGGAGCTTGGAGAGGTGCCCGAGCTGGGCATAGGCGGACAGCATCGTGTTCCACGAGACTCGGTCTCTAGCCGGCATTTGGAGGAACACCACCTCGGACTCCGCGAGATGCCCATTTTGGGCATACGCAGACAGCATCAAGTTCCACGAGTATATGTCCTTGTGAGTGATGCTGCCAAAGACCAGCAGCGACAGCTCCACATTCCCACAAAGGCCATACATCTGGACGAGAAGATTGGCGATATACGGCCCATCCTCTCCCTGGAGATTTGCCAAAACTCGCGAGTGGATATCCCTGGCTCGAGAGAGGGTCTTGCACGACTTGATAAGCTCGACACACTCGTCAGTAGAAAAGCCAGCTTGTACCATTGCCTTTGAGGTAAACAAAGTTATTGTCCTGGATGCCTCTTCTCTGCGCCATAGTTGCTTTTCTTCACTGACATTGGCCGAAGCTCGCGAGTAAACTTCCCCAGCTCAAGGGAGGGTCTTAGAAACTTTATTTGTTCTTCCATTGTTCTTCACAAACTTGTATGAACTTACGGCTTCCAGGAAGAAAGAGGTGGTGTTGTCGCGAATCGCCAAGTGCTGGACATATCACCGTATCGTTCTCCCTTGACTCCAGCCACCACGCTTTCAATCTCGTCAATCTCGGCCTTGGAGAGGGTCACGTCTAGCGATCCAATGTTTTCCTTGAAGTTCTTGAGCTTGGTGGTGCCTGGAATGGGGACAACGTCGTCGCCTTGGTGCTGGACCCAAGCCAGAGCAAGCTGCCCTGCGGTACAGTTCTTCTTGGCCGCTATCTTGCACAGCTTCTCGTAGATGGTTTTGTTGTGCTCCAGGTTCTCACCTTGGAACCTTGGGACAAACTGCTCAAGAAAAAGCCCACGTTACAGTCAAGCTTGAACTGTAAAAGACTTATCAAAGCTTGCCTTGCGGAAATCCCCATCGCCAATCTCTTCTACGATGGCTTTTCCAGAGAAGAATCCTCGTCCGAGAGGACTATAAGCAACTATTCCGATTCCAAGTTCCCTGCAACACAAGTCTCGGATCAAAACTTTGATTGGGAAGGATCTAGCTCAGCTTCTAGCAGACCTGCAAGTTGGAATAACGTCCTCCTCGACATCTCGACTCCAAAGGGACCACTCGAGCTGAACAGCAGTGATGGGGTGGACCGCATGAGCTCGGCGAATATCAGAAGAAGAAGCCTCAGATAAGCCCAGATACTTGACCTTCCCTTCCTCCACCAATTTCTTCATCTCCCCTACCTTTCAAAGCCAAGAAAACCACCTATCAGTATAGAACAGCGAGAAAAAACTCTGGAACAGTACCGTGATTTCGATGGGAACTTTCGGATCCACACGGTGCTGGTAGTAGAGATCGATACAATCCACATCCAGCCTCTTCAAGCTGCCCTCGCAAGCAGCACGGACGTGGGCTGGATCACCACGAATCCCTCGATTCCCCTTCTCGTCCACGAAGAATGCAAACTTGGTGGCCAGTTCCACCTTGTCTCTGATACCCTTGATCGCCTAGCAGCCAAAAGAAATCCAATCTACGAGAATGCTTCGATAGAAGAGCCAAATCCTACCTTGCCGACGAGGATTTCGTTGGTGTAAGGCCCGTACATGTCCGCCGTGTCCAGGAATGTGATCCCCGACTCGATCGCCGTGCGAATGAGCTCGATCATCTCCCCCTCCGGCTTGGGAGGGCCGTAGAATGCCGACATTCCCATGCATCCGAGGCCTTGCTTGGAGACCTCGAGACCTTGCGAGCCGAGCTTGATGCGCTGCGCCATAGCCAAGAATCTGCCCTAGTAAGTGAAGCCAAAAACCCCAAATTTTCTTCATGCTTATATGCTCGAGAGGAATAGTACGGACGATCACGAGAATGTACGGCAAGATCTTGAAAGTAAAGAACATTTGTTATACATTCCAGAGTTGTGCGGGGGCATCGCTGGTAGCAGCGAGCCTCTCATGATCGAAATTGCTAGAGGAGGATGAGAGAGACGAGAGAAATCCACTATCGACGCTGCTGCAGCTGTTGCTATTGATCGTTGTGCTGCTGGCAATGGCGATCTCATGGAGCCAGATCTGGTGCTTGAGGAATTTGACGTAGCTGATGGCTTCGTCCAGCATCGACGCCGTGTCCATCTTGCTGCCGCCGGGAACCAGGCGCTGGAGCGTCTTGAATCGCTCGCTGATGCGCTTGCGACGCATCCGCGCCGCCACGCTCTGCGGATCCGTCGAGAATTTGGAGCTGCTGCCGCTGCGTTTGGATCCCGGCTTCCCGCTACTGCCAGCCTTCTGGTGATCGGGAGAGGAATTCGCCGATGCAGCCAGGAATCCCGAGGGATGAAACAGGGAATAGCTGATGGAATCCGGGCAAAATCCAGACGTGGGCGACGCCGAATCCAGCGCAGCTACGGTCCAGGCATCGCTGGCCGGCGAATCGATGGAAGAAATCAGGAGATTGTCCATCATCGCGGCGGCATTCTCGTCAAAGAGATTCATCCTTTCGGAAGGAAAAACAGGGGACTCTCCCTCTCCCGCTCTTTATATATCTAAACAAGAGATGATTGGAAGAATCAAAGCCTGGCTCTTTTCTCTTCTTCTTTTTTTCCCTTCTTTCTTTGCAATTCAGAGCAGCAAATTCAGATTTTTTGTTTTGTGTTCCCCAGATTCCGGGCCAGGTGGTCTGAATGTTTTTGCCATCAATCCAATCTTTCCAATTTCCCAGCAGCCACCATCATGATCTGGACCGAATTGCTTGCTTGCTTGCTTCGCTGCTACTCTGTAAGAACCCGAGAGAGAGAGAGAGAGAAGAGAAGAGAGATCGTGTTCTTGCGAGTTCCTGTCTCTCTGGTCTGGCCCCCCCTCATCAATCAGCGCTACGATCGAGAGAACTCGCGACAGCGACCGACGGCTCCAAAAGAAACGCGTCACTCTTTCTGGCATGGAAATTCCATGGATACTCCAAACTTCAAAAGAAGGCTTGGCCACTGCAAAAACTCCTGCAAATCTTCTGCCTAGCGTTCTTGCTTCCCAAACGTTTTCCTGGTGCTTGTCCTTTCACTCTGTTCGAGAAGCTCGCTCTGTGTGCGCCTGTAACTCAATCTGGTCGGATCCGCTAACCAAGGGAACACAAAACATGCCTTCTTCCTCCTCTTTCTTTCTTCCCCGATTAGAGTGACGTAACGATGATCGCTTATCTCTCTTATGAACTTGCCATCTCGATGGATCAGCTCAGCCTTCTTCATTTCTTCTGCTGATACCGCAGATCTGGGAAACGAGTTAACTTCATCGGGGGAAGGCTCATCACACGCAGCACTTAAAGAACGTAGCAAAAGCATCGTGCTCGACTTACTTTTCTAAGCATGTGACTCTCTTTATACAGCTCTGGTTCTGCCCGCCTCGCTATCTCAAGACAACAGCTTCGCTAACATGCGAAGGCTTGGGGTCGAAGACCTGGCAAGAAAAGAAAAGACAAAAAAAAACACGAGTGAATGAATGAATGCCATGAAATGTGCACCTGTTATCTGGAATCAAAGCCAAATAAGACTTTAAGTTGGACTTGAGCGATGGGTATCGGTTAAGACATGCCAGACAACCTGGAGACATGGAAATCAAACAACCTGACATGAGCTCTAATGGTTTCTTTAACTAGAAAAAGAGATCAAAGAATCGACCTGAAACGATCATGTCCATCAAATCTTCCTCCTCTGCTGCTTCACCCTGAATTTGAAAGCCGGGGAGTAAATGGTGGCAAACTCTACGCTTGGAAAGTGTAAGATGATACCTGATAACAGCGCTGTAAGCACTTGCCAACAAGGGTATAGATTCTCTCCAGCTCGGAGGCTTCCAGGCAGTCTTTCAGAGCGCCTTCGTCCGTCATATCCAACACTGATGTGCAGAAACACGTCGCCATTGCACTCTCCATATTTTGGTCGGTTTTCACTGCAAACAAAACGATATAAGAACCATGTTGGCACTTGAAAAGAATGTACTTACAGGCCCAAGAGACGATCTCAGGCAGCGCCGGAACAAAGTCCACAAAGCTAGGCTCGTGAATCAAGCTGTTTTTCTGGTGTCATGTCATCGATAAAAAGCTAGTAAGCCATCGAGCTTCTTGTTATTTCCTACGTCACCTTTTGCAGCACATTGAGAAGAATGTCGAGTGCTTCAACGATCAAAACCTCATCTCGGTTTTTTAGTGAAGTAACGATGAACGATACTATCTGAGACAAGACGTTTTAAAGTGGTTTTACAAACGCAATGACATGAACCTGCTTGTGTCCTCCTGATGATACCAGTGCCTCACAACCATCCTCAGCCATAGTAACCTGCAGCAATGCAGGCACCAAAAACTGCACGGCGTAGAAGGGGCTGCAAGCATTGCAGTAAGACATCCATAGAACCGAGTATTGGAGGAAAAAAAAAACTTGCCTTGTTTCACTGTCTGGAGTGACTGATAGAAGAAAGCTAAGAAGTTTCAGGAAACGTGTGTTGTGTGCGGATGGAGCCTCGGCCAAGTATCTTACCAAAATCTTGTTCAGTTCACTTGTCGAGAATCTTTCTGGAAACAAATTGCTCACCGGCCAAGAAGCCGAACGGAACTTATTACTTCGTCCCCTTGATGGACACCATTGTCCTGCCAAAGAAAAAGTAACAAAATAAAAAAGAAAGATGACGATCAGACAAGCAGAGAAAGAACAACCTTTGCAGCTTCCAGGTATTCCAACAGAATACCAGCTATGTCATCTAATGCAGAAACTATCTTCTGCAAGGAACTTGCATTCACCTTGATGGAAGCCTCTGCAAGAATGAGAATTCGCAATAAATCCTGAGAAATAAAGAAGAGCTGAATACCTTCCTGCGAGGTGAAGTTGATGATATTTTCAACAAGAGAGTAGTAAACAGCTAAACTGCGCTGCTTCTCAATATCCCAGCCACTGGAACTGCTAGAAACGTGTAGAACATCACCAAGTACGATGGGAATTTCTACTCGCAGAGACTCCACCACGAGGAAAAGAAACCTGACTCAGGGATTCATCAACTTCTGAAGCGTAAACGAAATACAATCGCACTTACCTGTCAGAAGAAGAGCTTGATACCTCTGTGTCAGGAAAGTTGATGTTTCCAACAAGCCACGAACCTCCCAAATGCTCCACCATTTGCTCAGCCACCTCCAGAGCTCCTTTCCGGTATTCTGGTGCTGCATTTAGTTTATAGTATTAGAAGACCGCATGGAGTTTGCCTTATTCTACGAACATACAAACACGACTGTGAAGTATTTGACCCAGTCCTGTGCGCACATCGTCGGCCCATGAAAGACTTGCACAGTTCGTACTCAGCGCTGCTTTTGTATTGGACTGCAAAAGGTCAAAAAATAAAAAAATAGCAGCGGTTGTTGTAAACACGAGCTATACTTACAGAGACCAAAAGCAATTTCAACACTTCCATCACTTCAAACTTCCCGAGATTTTGCTGCAACGACAGATGCCTCGACAAAGGAGGGACAACCGATGCTAGTCCTTGCGCGTATTCCGAAGTTTTGCCCTCCATAGTTAGCCTTGTCACCAAGAAATACAAGAGCTTCACAACCGCCACAACCTCTTGAGCTTCTGTAACGATGAAGGCAAACATTAAGAAGAACTAAGTATCTAGTCTTGAAAGGAACACAGAGATACCTGGCGCAGCATTTTGGAGAAGGCTGCCAATGGCTTGAAAAACTCTCGACTGGCAAACAGCTACAAAGCCTTTGTCTGAAGCTGCGGCAATTCCCAACAAGCACTCGCTAGCATCAACAGAAACGTCCCTGGGCTTTTCGATTCAGTAGAAGAAAATCGAGAGAAAGAGGGAAGAAACGTACTTGGCGCTAAGCACCTCCACGTAAACGGGAACTTTATCGATGACATCGCTCGAAGATGCAAGCTCGGGAATTCTACAAAATGCGGCGAGTATAGAAATGCCGAGCTTGAGATAGTCATGCTGCTGCATTTCTTTCTCGTGCGTGGCAAAATGCCCCAGGCCTACGCAAATCCTCTCTTTAGAACGAACAATTCTACAACGGAGCGAGAAAACGAAGTACCTGTTCTCAAGAGGCGATCGACGAACTGGAAGCCGATGGCGTCAAACACCTCGTGGACGGCTTGCGCATCGCCTCCGGACACAAACTTGGTGGCGAGAAGCAGACCCACCAGGCGCTGCTCATCGTTGCTCCCGCGCAGGAGCTTGAGGCATTCGTCCAAGCTCGCCATAAACCCTAAACCCGCTCAAGACCTTCCTTTTAGGGCACAAAAATTTCGACACCTCGCCCGTGTCGATCCCGAACTAGAAGAAGATTATATATAAACCTTAACGTTAGATGGGATGTTGTGCATCGCAAGAGTAGTGATCGTCGCGCTTTCTCCAGAACAATCGATGACGCGTCACGAGAAGAAAAAATCAAAACTCCCTCTTTCTGCCCTAAGGAAGGTCTTCCAATCCAGAAGTTTGGCGCGATAGGTGTGCTTTTTGTTTTTCCTCTGTAGAATTTCTCGTACAAATTCTTGGGAACATTGAGCCCAGGGAATGGTGATGCGCTGGAACTCTTTACCTTGGAAGGAAACAATTACTGCCCCGCTACTTCTAATACAATCTTGAAAACGTCCAGATATTCATCTTTGAGGAGCTGAAAAGCTCGTTTCAACGCATGGAGAATTGTCTCAACATTCAATTCAAACTTCCAATTTGTTCTATGCTCTGGAAATAGGCTTCCTTTCATCGGGAAAACATGCTGACCTCGGAATTTCCTCGAGGCCGAATGATATGGATGTCACACCTGTCAAACTCTACATATTCAACGATGGTATTGCAATACTCACTTAGACGAGTTTGCCAGTGTCTACATTCACCGTCCAGACATGAAGCCAGCCTACAAGTAAAGCTTCAAAGTCAGCTTCTTCCTTGTGATTCACCTTGAGCTGAACTAACCTCAAAGGGCCCTTACAACCTTTTCTTGTCTGTAATTATCTGTAATGTATATATTATATATAATCTGTATATAATCTGTATATAATCTGTAATCTATATATTATCTGTAATGTATATATTGTAGGATTATCTGTAATGTATATATAGAGTCATGAAATCGCGGCAAACCCTGATCGAGAGGACCTGCCCAATCTAGCTCACAGCACGGAATAAAATCTTGTCATCGCTGGAAGAAGCATTCATCAGCTCCCTATGACTTCTTGCCACGTTCGTAAATCCAATATTTTAACTATATTTTAGAATATTCCTCAATTCAACCGTCTATACATGAGTCTAGGGAATGCATCTGCCCACATATGTTAAGTTAGTGTGATTGCAATTAGTAAGAATTCAGATTTGGCTGGCTCTATTGAGATTTAACACCCTTCAAGAGAGTACAGTCATTAGGCTAAGTGCCATTTTACTTCTGCTTTAAGCTAAAAACTTAAACACATAAATCTTAAAACTTTTCTCTATTTCTTTTCATCCGATAGCTCATGGATGTTTAGCAGCATATTTCATAGAGATCAGGTCTTGGATCTCATAATCTGGCTTAATGTCTTCTAAGAGATGGATCCTTCTGTATGACTCCAATAATTAACCATTTTAAGAATCCTTTATTGACTGCATGAATCTAGTTATTTAGAAGTAAAGGACCAGTAACTAAATTATAGAGTAATCCCTCTGTGAAAAACCTTAAGGATTTTTTCTCCAGCTTGAGGTATTCTATAATGGTCACATTGCACATCATGGCATCAGAGCTCTTGATAGGGAAGCCCAAGGAATGGATTATGATTGAGATCCTAGAACTCAAGTGGGAGATGGCTTATCTTCCATTTTTGTATTGTCTGTAATGCAAGTTATTTTGTACAACAAAAATTTAAGATGATAAAGTTGGCTTTAAAAACTCAGAAGTTGGTTGAATATTATCCTTTTGTGAGGTTCAAGTGTAAAAATAATGATGTTGTATACTAATATTAACATAATGAAATTTTGATAGCTATTGGATTAACTTCAATCCGGACCACTCACTCTTGTATATAAACTAGGGTTCTTGGGTTAATTGATATGCATATTTTTGTATTCTATTTTTATATTTTATACACTCACGTTGGTGGAACTGAAAGGCAAGTTTGATTGTCCTTGAAGAGTGCTTAAATTTGGGATTTTGGTTTAGATTTAACTTTTGCATCATCTAGATCTCACTTCCCTTATACCCTTTTCAATTTTTTATTTTTTATTTTTTCCTTTTCATTCATCTTCATAGCAAAGCAACAACCTCCTCCTCTAACTCTAAAACAATAGTTGGTGTAATTTCTCAATGCTATGCAATTGCAATTGAACAATCATATTTAGTTGATAGTGGTATTCATGGCACGTGGTACAATTTCTCTTGCTCTTACTACCAATACTTGCGTTTAACTAGAATTCTTCTATGGGAATCCTAGAGATAATGTGTACTACTGGTTCGATCATTTTATGGTGACTGCCACATATCATTCTTAAGATGATGGTCAGTGTTTGTATAACTTTCCTATAAGTCTTCAAAGGATGTTATTATAGTGATACAATAGCTTGAGCATAACCACTTGTGCAAATTGGAGCATTCTCTTGGACCGCCTTTTCCACTTTTTGCTACATGTTGTTTAGATCCACTTCCTGTGAAAGATGATCTTGTTCCAATGAAGATTGATGTTTCCACTGATATAGTGCACTCTATCTCTCTTTTCTTAGGCCAATTGTAATTGCTTAATAAAAGAGTTTTTAATGGCTATTTTATCCCCATTTATCCTCCAAAATTTTACAATGACAGTGTAAGCCACAAATTTTTCCTTTCCAATTTGCCAGCTTACCTCGCCTATCCGTCCAACACCGCCTTGGCTTTTGCTAAGTTCCCTCGCCAAGGTTCTCGCCTATGGTACCAGCTCCTACTTGGTTTCAGCTACTCACTGCACGAGCAACGGAGTGTTACCCATCCTTCCACGGATTCCCAAATCACTCCCAATCCCCCTCCCCAGGTTAGACTGGACTTAAGGTTCGGCTACACTCCCCGCAAGCACAAGCAGCCAAGCACACCAAGCTTCCAGGTTCCTAACATCCCTTGGTACCACAAGACTTGATCATGGGACCCTCTAAATCCCAAGTCTTGAGTGCAACACTTGCTTCGGGACGCCGGGGCGAAACACCGTGGCCTAACGGCCCGGTATGGGTACCTCTCGCCCCCCACTTCCATCCCGAAGGAAGGCCCAAGCCCCTAGGAAGGGCGAGGACCAATGAGCCACATGGTACTCAAGTGGGGCACCATTCCACATGAGCCGGGAGCACCGCAATCGGTTTCCCTTTCGGGAGTGGGAGCTGCTCTTGAGCACTTCCTTGGATGGCCCCTCCGGCACCAGCCAAGTCCATGCTCACTCCCACCCAAGGCCCCTCGGTCCCAGTCTCAACCTCAAGTCAGTTTGGAAGCCCAACTGGAGAGTCCCTTCAAAACTGGTTCCTGGACCTCACTATCCCTACTATACTTTTGGAACCCCCTGCAGCCCCCCCCCCCTGGGAGATGCACGCTTTGGGCTTTCACCCCTTGACCCGTATTAATATTTGGACTTAGTCTCTGGCTCGATCTCGGACCCGATTTCGGATCCGACTTTGGATTCGGTTTCGGACTCGATCTCGGACTCGATCTCGGACCCGATCTCGGACCCGACTTCGGACTCGACCTCGGACTCGGTCTCGGACCCGATTTCGGATCTCGGACTCCGTCTCGAACTCGGTCTCGAACTCGGACTCGAACTCGGTCCCCGAGTCGGTCTCGAACTCGGTCCTAGAGTCGGTCTTGGACTCGATCTTCGACTTGGTCTCATCCGATGAACTCTTTGTCATTTTGGTCATACTTTCGGGGTTCCTTTAGCCTACGACACCTCGGCGAGTTGGTTCCTTACAGACAGTATGTCTAAATTTCATTCCATTATTATATGTGCTACATTACCCCCTTTCAAATATGTGAATGTCTTTATTGACTATTGACTAACAACCCCTATTACACCAAAGGGAACTAACATCTCTATTTCTACACAAAAATTTATCAATCCTTTTATTGTTTAAATTAGCTATTTTATGTGAGGTAACTAATCATCCACCCGTATCACAATCCCATGGTGGCATCCATAAGAGGAAGAACGTATGCATGGATGTTCAATACATATGATTTCAAATTTATGGATAAGAATATACTTTACTCAAGGGTTTATTATATTTTCTCCAATACCACATGTAATGCACTTTATTTCACTCCCCTTAAGCTAATTAGAAAAGGGGTAATTATTTGATAAGAAAGCCTTTAATAACTATTTTATCCCTATTTATCCCCCAACATTCCAAAAATCCACAATAATAGTATATCTAAATCTTATTCCATAATCACATGTATTACACCTAAGTTCAAGGACAAGGGTGAGGACATGGTCATGGCTATGAACTACTGTTGATCTTCTCAACATTTCCCTAATTCCCTCCTCTCATCTATGTCTTAAATGCTTTAAGATTGGCAACCTCTATTGCTTATGTAGAGACCTTAGTGTCAACATGTTTTGTTGGTGGTGTTTCAGTGGAAGTTCTAAACACTGAGATGCTTTTGAGAAATGAGGAGTCACGTAAGTCTTTATGCGAATAAGTTAATGACTTTTTTATTTTTATTTCAGGAGTATCATCAAAGGGTACCAGTTTATCTAATGTTTACTTCCCAAGCTCGTTTTTATAATAGGTTTCCTATTATTTTTTCTATATTAGTTGATACAAACTCGAGTTTATCTTTTATTGTTCAGCTTATTGCCATATGCTGCTATCTACATTTGCATCGTGTAGTAGAGCCAGTTTTCATTATTTATAGAAACGGTTACATATATGCAAATGCATGGGATGAGGCACATCTAGTTGTGCATATAAACAATTTTGAGTTTGAGTTGCAGCCATTGTAAGTTGTGCTGAATTGAGCTTTTAACTTTATCCTGTATGGATTAATTATGGTGCAATCAGTGTAACTTTGAAGCTTCTCCCTTTTGTCTCACATTTCCTTATATTTCTTCTATTCCTTTTACTTTTATTCTTTTTTGCGCCCCTTTACTCTTACTTTTGCTTCCATCACTTTTGTCTCTTTATTACTTCTTTTTATATTTCTGTCTTGTTCTTTTATACCCTCTTTAAATCCCGTTAACAATATTTGTATTATAACAGTTGATTGGCTTATGAAGGAGTGCCAATCTCTTTGAA